GGCTGACGAGGGAGGGGGACTTGATTGGGGGAGGGGTAGGGAAAGGGGAGGCGGTGGTGGGGAAGAGACAGAAATCTTTAATTAATTAATAAAGAAATAAATAAATTAAAAAAAAGAAAGAAAGAAATCTGACTCTTTCCCAGAAGCCATCAGCTGTCCACAGGGCTGTGCATACTCATGAGCCCCTTTCTCCTCCAAGCAACATTTGTTCTTGCATTCCCTCTTAGGTTCTTTTTTATAATGGGAAATCTCAGATATTGTTTTTATCTCTGAATACTTCACTCTGTGAACTGATAGAGAAGGACTTATTCTGAAAGCGTGCTCCCCATGCTACCGTCAAGAGCCGCAATTCTATCGTCCTCATTTTGCAAGCTAACAGCTCCTCACATCTACTGGAGTTAACTGATCAGTTGTCTGTGTTGCAAAGGGCTTGTACCCCTTTCCTAATGACAGGGTTGTTAGCAGGGCTTTTTGATTTTGAGACAGGGTTTCTCTGTTTAGCCTTGGCTGCCCTGAAACTTGCTCTGTAGACCAGGCTGGCTTTGAGCTCACAAAGATTGACCTGCCTCTGCCTCCGAGTGCTGGAAGTAAAGGCCACCATGCCAAGCTAACATACTTCTTTTCTGTTTTTTAAAGGATGTCTTTCTACATTAATTTCATTGATCAGTGTCTACAAGACAAGGATTAAACATTTCCTTCTTTGGTCTTTAGCAGCTTCTAGCAACTGTTATAGAAATATGTGTGGTGGGATGAGCAGATTCTGTTTTCTGGCAGTCACATGTTTTAATCAATAGTGAGCAGTGGCTTAGAAATAGCTTCGAAAATGAAATTCTCCCCCAAAGTGCAAAAGTAAGCTAGTCTGGAAGTTAATTTATTTTTGAAATTTATTTGTGTTTATGTGTACAAATACATTTTTTTATTTTGGTGTGTGTGTGTGTATACATGCATATGGAAGAACTCTGGATATCAATGATAGGTGTCTTTCTCAGTCACTCTCCATCTATGTCTGTATGTATGTATGTATGTATGTATTTTTTTATTTATTTATTGAGATAAGGAACATGGAACTTACCAGTTTGCTAGACTAGCTGACCAGCGAGGACCAGGCCTCTCCTGGTTTCTGTATCCCTAGTTCTGGGATTATAGGTATGAGCTCCTGTGCTGAGCTTTTTACACAGTTGTTGGGGACATAAACTCGGGTTCCATGCCTGTGCAGGAAGCACTTGACTGGTTGAGACATTCCCTCAGCCCTGGAAGAGCATTTAAACTACTTCCAGACCTAAATCAAAATAGGGTTTTAAATAAAGAACTGTCATCCATTTAAACATATAAGAGCATTATGCTCAATTTTGCGCTGCACAATTTATAAACAAACAAGCAAAAATATCAGGAATGGTTACTTCAGAAATGGCAGTAGTGTTCAGCTTCATTTCTGGGAGACGCACGACAGGATTGTGGAGAGGCATGGGTTGATCTGTACCATGTCACCCTCCTGAGCCTTCTGAGAAGTCATGTCTGGGCAAAAACTCCATAGTCCAGGTCCTGGAGTCCAGCTGAGGCCACGTGTGCAACAGTCAAGAAAACGTGTGGGATTAGGCTTGTCACTTAGAGTGACATCAATGACAGGTGGCACACCTTAACTGTATTCTTCTCCCCTGAACTGGGGAGCCATAGAGTGGAGATGTCAGATGCATGAGAATAAGGAGGGTGTGATTGTGTCTCCATGGAAGGATCACTCAGAAGACACCTTCTCTGTGTTCAGTCACTCGGACACCAGGGCTTTTTGTTATAGCAGCTAACATTACTTTAGCACAGCTTGCACCCTGGGAGAAGGAGTTAGAAGGCAGATGTGGCCCCAAATCCCAGTTCAAGTGCTATGTTTATGTGGAGTCAGACGACTCTGTCATCAGAACCCTGAGGGCTTCATAGAGGTTATGGAATTTGAAACCATCTTTGATAAGAAACGAGTTTTTCGAAGGAGCAGCAAGCAGGAAGAAACCTGTTTCAGGTTAAGAGAAAACTTATTACTTCAGGAACATGAGAAAAACCTAAAGTGACAGATCGTAGAAGAGATGGCTTGCAAAGGGAGACACAGAGATACTGAGCTGTGTGCCATGTGAAGAATCTCAACCCTCTCTATAATGTAGAGAGCCACAGGCATATTGAGTTTCACGGGACATGAGTGGATGTGTTTTATGAAGGCAGATCTGTAAGCAAAGAGGAGTGTGTGGTCAGCCTTCCGATTTGGCCTCCTCATTAAAGATGAAGAAGATACATAGGAGGAAGAATAGGAAATAGACGGCAAGGCCACAGTGTCTCTCACTCATTCTACTCTGCCTCTCTGTTGTCATGGCACCCACACTCCAGTGAGAGAAAGAAGAGCCCTAAAGAAATGTGCAAGACAGCTGCTAAGTACACAACTACCAAAGGAGGGAGCCCAGGCAATAAGAAAAGAGGGTGCAAGGGAAGCACTTGGGCTGAGTGTCTATGGATTGTTCTCAATTCTCTGCTGAGCCAAAGGCAGGGCGCGATAGGACAAGTTATGGGCCAGAATTAAGAAGTGTGACTGGTTGAAGGGCCCAGGTGATGAAGGTGAAGATCAGAAGCAGCCAAAGCATGCAGGCTATGGTGAGCTGTTTGTGTGTCCCTGAATGTGAACACACAGCTGTAGAATGGTAATAAGAGAGGGGACGTGACTAATTGATTTAGGCTTTTCCACAATAACGCTCTGATTGCTGACTGTAGCAAATGTTATAAAGGTGTCAGAAAGGAAGCAGAGAGTGTAATGAGCGAGACACACAGCCTGGATAAAAAGATGGTCAGCATATAGGTTAGTGCGGCGCAGTAGAGATGGAAGAGACAGGGAGATTCTAGTTGCAGCCTTTTAAAGGAAGAACTGACTAGTTTAGTTGCACTTGATGGACTCAGAAATCAAAGGATGCTCAGGTGACCATGCGTGTTTTGACTTGACTCTGGGTAGCAGACTCTGGGTCCCACCTTGAGCCAAAGGAAGCAGGAAGAAAATGGAGTGGCTCTGAACTTGGAAACGTGAGACTGATTTACAGCCCACGAGAGAAGGCTGGGCAGAGGATGTGGAATGCACAGTCTGATATAGTCACATCGATTTAAGACTAATAGACTAGAACAGGTCATCTGGAGAGAGTATCGGAGAAGAGGTCCCAGTGGCTCCCTGCTGAAACGCTTATGATGTCAGCATGACAGGGAGGAAGGAACTGGAGAACCAGGGACGGCAACCAAAACCCGAGCCACAAGGCCAAGGGATGAACCGCACCCTCATGCATCTCCTATGAAGGAAAATAAAAAAGGCTGAGAAGAGCTTTCTGGTAGAGTTGAGGGATCTTTTAGCTTCAGCACTAACAAGTATGCAAAGCCATTGCTATGGGTAAAGCTGCAGGGCAGACAACAGGCATGAACGCTGCAAACCCAGGTGCTACCTCAATGCTCCACTGGAAAGAAGTGCCTAGAAACGAGGGCTGCTAGAAGAGGGTGGACATTCGCATATGGGTATTTAAAGAATTAAGTGGGAGTTATGACATTCCTTGGCATCATCTAGAAGAGGAATAAAGGAAGTAGCCGAGCATGGGCAACCTGGAGACAAACCCTGGAGGACAGTATGATAGAGCTGGAACAGCTGCTTAGGTTGAACATGCTCCAACCCCAGGGACAGCAGTCACACATGAGGCCACACAGGGTGATGGTAGGTAGGTTCCTGAGCACAGAAGGAAGGAGGATATTTGCTGGGAGCCTGGATTTTTGTTTCCTAGTGACAGGGCGTGAAGACAGATGTAATTGCAGTAAAATTTGCTGACCAGTGACAATGAGAAACTGCCATGAGTTATTCTGTCATTTCTCGAAGAACAGCAGAGTGAAAACACCTATTGAGGGACTCTGGAGAATGCTGAAGATTTGAGAAAACAAGTAGGCATGGCCATGAGAAAATTCAATACCACACGTTAGTAATAAAGAACAATCTGCCCACCAACGTGATTCATACTATGGAAGGCACTTGTTACTCCTTTGAACTTCTAATTCTGCATGAAGGAAAGGTCCTCAGGCATGGCTTGAGATGGAAAATACTGTTAGAAGAAATATTTAGGAGAAAGTTCTATCTTTAATCTCAATGTCAAAATAAAATTTTGAATCATATATTTATCAAGTCTTGATCATGGCCTTTATGATTGTGATAATTCCAGGAAAATATACCAAGAGAGAAATAGTGCTTACCAGATCTCCTGAGTAAACTGTGAGCATGGGGACCTTTGGGGAGGGTTGAAGCGGGAAGGGAAGGGGAGGAGAGAAAAATGTAGAGCTCAATAAAAATCAATAAAAAAATAGTGCTTACCTTATTAGGGAAGCTTATGAGGTCTCTCAGTATATGAATAGAGTCCACCATTGCTTCCTAAAAAGCGGAAACAAGTCAACAAACTATAAAGAAATCATATTATTTCAAATATAGCTTGCTTATTGATTCTTTGTATTGTTCTCTTTGTTTCTGCTTTCTTGATTTTGGCTCTCAATTTGATGATTTCCTGCCTTCTAGTCCTCCTGAGACCAAAAACACTGATGACAACTTATTCTGGAGAGGATGTGGGGTAAAGGGAACACTATTGCATTGCTGGTAGGAGTGCAAACTGGTACAGACACGTTGGATATCAGTATGGAAATTTCTCAGAAAATTAGGAAACAACCTATCTCAAGACCAGCAATATCACTTTTGGGCATATACTTAGAGGATGCTGAATTATACCACAAGGATATGTGCTCAACTATGTTCATAGCAGTATTGCTTGTAGTCACCAGAACTTGGAAACAAACTAAATGCCCCTCAACTGAAGAATGGATAAGGAAAATGTGGTCCATTTGCACAATGAAGTAGTAGACAGTAGAAAAAAATGACATCTTAAAATTTGCAGGCAAATGGATATATCTAGAAAATATCATATTGATTGAAAGTAATCCAGACCCAGAAAGATAAATATGATATGTACTCACTTATAAGTGGCTTTTAGACATAAAGCAAAGAAAAACTAGCCTACAATTCTCAATATCAGAGGATCTAGACAACAAAGAGGACCCTAAGAGACACATACATGGATCTAATCTACACGGGAAGTATAAAAAGACAAGATCTGAATAAATTGGGAGCATGGGGACCATGGGAGAGGGTTGAAGATGAAGAGGGACGGAGGGTAGGGAGCAGAGAAAAATATATAGCTCAATAAAAATAATTAAAAAAACAAATATAGCTTGATTATAAAGAAATGGAGCACATATTGTGTTTTTCTATGAAAATCCTCCCTAGAGGCCAGCCCTTTTGTAGCGAGATTATGACCTTGGCCTCAATGTTTCCTTCTAGTCCAGCATGACTCTGATGTGTCCCTGGCCAGCATCGCCAGTAGGAAACTGACACAACAGAAGCTGAAATAAAGGGACAGGACTAAAAGGAGCTTAGAGGAAGGGGCAGGGGAAGGTCAGCATAAGGAAAATGATCAGGTCTAGCAGAGTATCCTGTAATTCTAACGAAGCAAGGCCTGCTGTGTGTAGGCTTGAATGTTCCCGAGTGGCCATTGTAAAGCAGAGCTGCTTCCATGAGCACCAGGTATACACACACACACACACACACACACACCATACACATGCAATAAATCTTTACAAACTTAAAAACATTGATGTTTACAAAAAAGAAATTGCATACAATTTTGACCTTATCCTTTGACTGATGGTTGCTAACAGAATAAAACATCAGATTTATAAAGGTTTTTATTCATAGATACAGTGGGAGAATTATCGCCATAGCAATAATCACCTTGTATCACTGCCTCCGTTCTGAAGCAGAGGCATTCCCAGGAGCCTAGCAGGCTCTGTGCCTGGTCTCCTTTCCTGCCCGGGTGGTAGGCGCAGGAGTCCTTACTGAGGAGGCTGCTCTCAGAGCACAATTGCTGTTTAGGTTTTACAGACACTGCACTACCCTGCTCAGGGATATACCTGGTCCGTTAAAGGAACTCTGCATGCTGAAGAAATCAATACGTCCTGTATCTGTGACCATAGGCTACAGGTGGATGTGTTTCTGCTCTCCACATACAAACGGCTCAGGATCACAGTGGTCATAGCGATGTAGTTCCTGACTTCCGTGTAACTTCCCACCAGCTGGAGAGAAGACAGGGTGTCCAGGGTGGAGTCGTATCTGAAGGAACAGAACGGTGGCGATGGTTTGACGGCATTGTAAAACTTTACTCTGCCAAAGGGGGAATGGGGTTTGTCCTTGAGTGGGTCTGAACCCAAAGAGAATAACATGAAAAAGAGGTGGTTTGTATCGGGGCAACTTGAAACACAATTAGACACAAAGCCAAAATACTAGTAGCACTTCTTTGATTAGAACAGAAAAAACACAATATGTCAAACAGATACCAATATACAACCATCATGATACATAAAGGAATGTGGCTTAGAGCCAAAGACACAGTGGCTAGAGCAAGCTGAAAAAGTACAGGCAGCCTAACCACTGAGAGCTCATTGTGCGCAGACCCAGATTAGAGCGGAAACGCACGGCATATTTGCGGCTCCAGGTAAAATCGCCAAGTCTATGACTTCAGATTTTAGTAACTTGGCATTCAATTATTTATGAATGGAATAATAAAGTTATTTATGAATGGAAAAGGCAACATCATGTCTTAGAGCTCCGTGCATGGAGCCATCACCTTTTTCAGCTCTTGCTGTACACTGTCTTTGCCATATGACTGCAAAACATTATTTACTTGAATAACTCAGCCCAAATGTTCAAAGGTAAAACAATGTCGAACTAAATAAAATGCTTGGAGAGCAATGAATCACATACCAAACAGTATGACATGTTGGCTAAGGACTGCAGGAAGGCAGGCGAAAGAGAAAACACAGAAATGAGTCTGAGAAGAACCAGCACAGATTGCACAATTAGGGAAAATCTGTCTCACAGATTTAATCTCCTACAGTCAATAAACGCACAAATAAAACATCAAGGAAACAAAAGCAGCCACAGGAAGCCTTAGAAAGCTGAGCTCATACCCAGAGAGGCAGAATATATCAGACAAAAGGTCCAGTTTTCAATAAAATCTTTTTAGACAGCAAGCAAGCTTAAAGTCCAACCCAAACTCAGGAAAGATAATAGACAATAGGACTTCCTGTGAGAAAACCCAAATGATGGGTTGACCAAAGACTTCAAAACAGGAATCATAAATATGTTCAAAGAACTAAAGAAAGCTAATCTTGAAGATTAAATAAAGTATTATAGTGACTAATCAATTGTAGACTAGCAATGAAGAAAAGCTATAAATCAAATGGAATTTCTGGAGCTATGTGTGTATTAACAATAATGAAAATTCACTGCAGTGTTTGAAAGCAAATTTTGAGAAAAGCAGCTGTGAATTTGGGGACCAAACAATAGAGATAATGAACAACAAGCAGAAAAGAATAGGAAGAAAATGAAGATAGATTTGTAGACATGCTGGATAGCAAGTTCACAAATAATACATTCTTTAACAACAAATCCATTGCAGGAGGTGATGTCTATAAAGTGCTATGGTTCAATCTATAACAGCTAGGCATCCATTCAGACAGATACCTTAAAGCACCTAGAATGTTTACACCTGTATTAGGCTAAAAATAAAAGAAGTGGGGATCAAATTTTAATGATCCAGAGAAACATTTTTTGATCATAAAATGGGCCAACCCATTAGAAAGGTAAAAGTTATAAATACATAATTGGTCAAAGAGTCAAGAATAAGGAAGCGAGTGCTCAGTCCTCATCTGTGAACACATCACCATCAAGGCTTAGGACATGGCGGGAGAGGAATTAGCTGGAGGATGGGGAGGAGAGCTGTGACATGCTGTATTCTGAATATGGTGTGCTATAACAATCATGAACTCACAGCAGCTGTGGCTGCCTGCACAAGACCAACACAAGATCAAGCCAAGTACAGTCCCAGCATAGATAGGGTAGATGATCTCAGCTTTACCCTGTACACTGTGAATATGTGTTGCTCTCATTGGTTGATAGATAAAGCTGCTTTGGCCTATGGCAAGGCAGGATAGAGCCAGCAGAGAAACCCAAGCAAAGATAGAGGAGAGGAAGGGTGGAGTCTGAGAGACACCAGCCAGCCACGGAGGAAACAAGACATGCAGAAAATGAGATAACACCACGGCCACGTGGCAATACATAGATTAATATAAATAGGTTAATTTAAATGTAAGAACTAGTAATAAGCCTGAGCCATCAGCCAAACATTTATAATTAATATTAAGCCTCTGAGTAGTTATCTGGGAACAGGCAGGTGGGAAACAAAACTCTGATTACTCTACCTCTTGCTAGGGATCTGTTGGCAGTGGGTGGTTGCTGGGGAAGGAGAATTATTATTTTTTGAGGATATGGCCACTCATAGGATTTCCATGCTCCAATGGTCAGTCCCGCTTCCATAAGCCATACTAACTATACTTGGTGGATTGTTAAAAAAAAGAAAAATGTGAAGTAGGGTACATATAGAGTAAACTGGAGGGGGAAGTTGGGTCAGAGATAATCATATTTTATTGTATACAGTATAAAAATTTCAGAAACAAAGAAAATCATTTAAGAACGTAAAAATCTAATGTAGACATGTTCACAGTGCATTGCCAAACAGAGGCGGCATTATCACACTATGAATGTGCTCACAATTGCCCAAATATATAACATTGTAGAACTGTACAAAATTGTTATGAATACATAGGGAATCTACGAAGAGAACAAAACCTGATGGCACGGGAGAGACAGAAAGGACTTCAAAGGTAATGATGCTATCAGTAATGGACAGAACAACAGGAGATCAGCAAGGTATATAAGACTCAAGATGAAGGTGGTCAAACATATTACATATGAATATATTAAATAATAAAATTTATTTATTACTTATTTTATGCATAGAAGTATTTTGCCTGAGTGTGAGTCTATGTACCATCTATTGCCAGGTACTTTTGGAAGTCAGAAAAGGGCATTAGATGACTTGTACCTAGAGTTGTAGGTGGTTGTGAGCCAGCATGTGGGTGCGGGAAATAAAACCCCAGTCCTTTGCAAGAGCTACAACTGCTCTTAACTGCTGAGCCATCTCTGTAGCCCCCAAAGAATCAATTTTTAAAATGTTCACACAATAATTTTGGGGCCAGAGAGATGGCTCAGCAGCAGGTAAAGATATTTTCTAGGCAAACCTGACAACCTGAGTTTGAGCCTCAGGACCTAGACAGAGGCGGAAAGAACGAGTTCTCCAAAGTTGTCTTCTGACCAACATCTATGAGCCATGGCGCGACATGAGAATCAATAAATGCATCTCAGCATTTATGGCTTGTCCCAGTTTGCTTTCTGTTGCTGTGATAAAACACTAACTAAAAACAACTCGGGGAGGAAAAGGTTTCTTTCACCTGATAACTTCCACGTCACAGTCTGTTCTGGAGGAAACTCAAGGCAGGAAGCTGAAAGCAGGAACTAAAGCAGAGGCCCAGGAAGAACACTGTTCACTGGCTTGTTCCCCATCACTTGCTCAGTCTGCTTTCTTATATAACCCAAGAGCACCTGCCCAGGGTGTGGTGGGGGCACACAGTACAGTAGTCAATCATTAAACATGAGAATGTCCCACAGGCTTGTCTAGAGGTCAGTCTGATGGAGACATTCTCTCAAGGCTTCATCTTCCCAGATGACTTCAGCTTTTATTGAGTGGACACAAAAACTAAGCCCAGCATACTCAGCACGGAGGAAAATCACTCTCCTCTGCCAGTGCTGGTAGGAATACCAAGTGGTGCGGCCTGTCTGGAGAGGTGCTAAGCAAGAGGTATCCTATGACCCAGCAGTTCTTCCCTGGAGAAATGAAAATGTTCACCCACACCAAAGCTTGTAAAAGAATCTTCAGCATAACCTGACTTACAGACAAAACTAGGCAATGTCAACGAGTAAAGAAATTGAGGCAATACAATAAATATTATTGAGTCATTAAAAACGAGGTACTGATTTGTGCTGAATCATGGATGAAATTCAGCAATATTCATATGTGAAATGAAGAGGAACACTCGAGAGCTTATTCTCATTATTCTGTTGCCCCGAAATTTCTAGAATCTGCAAATTTTTAGACACAAAGATTTTGACTTTGGGGATTTGGAAATAGGCGTTGGGGTTGGTGATTCGGGAGTTACTACTGTTTGGTACAAAGATGTTGTGATAACCAAATGTTCCTAAACTAGACCACGCTAAAGGCCACAGTGCTCTGTGAGTGCGAGCAATTTCCATCGGACAGCTATATCATGCTTAAATAACACCTCAGTTAAACTGTTTAAGGGGCTGGAGAGATGGCTCAGTGGTTAAGACTGCTTGCTGCTCTTCCAGAAGATCCAAATTCACTTTCCAGAATCTATGTAGAGTGACTCATACTGACGTCTATCCCAGCTTCAGGGGGTTCGATGCCTTATTTGGAGCTCATCAGGTACCTACACACATGTGAGAAACCCCAACCTCCACTACCCTCCTAAAGATGCATACATAAAATAAATCTTAAAAACATTTTAGAGGGGCTGGAAAGATGGCTCAGAGGATAAGAGCATTGCCTGCTCTTCCAAAGGTCCTGAGTTCAATTCCCAGCAACCACATGGTGGCTCACAACCATCTGTAATGGGGTCTGGTGCCCTCTGATGCCCTGCAGGCATACACACAGACAGAATATTGTATACATAATAAATAAATAACTATTTTAAAAAAATTTTAGAAAGAAAAGAAAGAGCATCATGGACCCTGAAGCAGCAGCACAGGGCTGTGCAAGAGGTATTAAACAAGCCGTGACCAGGAAACCCTGTTTTTTTGCCCAGCAAGAGAAGAGCAATTACTATTGTTCTGTTAGCAGTTCTTTATCACCTCCCAGGGAATATAAGCTCTGCTGTCGGGTGTCTTTGTTGCACCCTCTTACTTACAGGTCCTTGTCAGGGCAGTCATTTCCCTGGTAACGGGGTAGCACAGTCACTTCCGCACTGCACGGCTGCACCTTGGAGCCTTGGCCATCTGTGATCTCGGTAGAAACAATGACTGTGAAGGAATATGACAGAGGAGGGTCATCCCAGCCGCTAGCTGTGGGGAAGTGTCTTCAAGCACCACCAGCAGCTGAATAGCATGTGCAATGATAACAGGGTGGGGGATGCTGGCGAAACTCAGGCAAACTGTCTTCCTTCCCACATCATACACACCGAGGGTACCAACAAAGCTGTAACTAGAATCTTTGTCAAGCAAAACTATGAGCTATAGAAACAATGGCTTTTAAAGATTTATTTTTGTTGAAAACAGATTTTTAGATAATATATTCTAATTACAGTTACCCTCTGACCCCTCTTATATCCTTTCCACCTCCCCATTCACCCAAATTCACACCCTTTCTTGCTTTCTCTCATTGTAAAACAAACAGGTATCTAAAAAAAATAAAGAAAGGAAGAAAAGAATAAGAAAACATAAAAACAAAAAAAAACTTGAATAGAACAGAACAAACAGAAAAAAGGAGCTAATGAAAAAGCACAAGAAACATATATAGATTCAGAGACAGAAACATACACATTCTAACACACAGCCATCCCAAAATTATATAATATGTAATTAAAAGACATATAAGGTTGAAGAAAAGGCAAAAGAAAGAAAGGAAGGAAGAAGGAAAGGAGGGAAGGAAGGAAGGAAGGAAGAAAGAAAGAAAGAAAGAGAAAAAAGAAATCAGACAAAGCTATATCCAATGATCAATTTCTTGCTCAGCCATACAGAGATGTGTCCTCCTGCGGTAGAGGGAAACAAATACAGAGAACCACAATGGAACAATGTGCAGAGAGTGAGAGACTTTGGAACTACATGGATGTCTGCATCGAATCCCTCCCCTCAGGGCTCAGGGAACCCTATGGAGGAGGAGGCAGAAAGAATGTAAGAGCCAAAGGGGATGGAAGACACCAAAAGAACAAGGCCTTCTAGACACAATAGGATTGTTGCACATGTGAGCTCACGATCATTGTGGAAGCATGCATAGGGCCTGCACAGGTCTAAGCCAGATACATTACAGCCTTGAGTGGACGCGAGCCCCCATCCCGAACCCAGAAGCTATCGCCGATTGATAACTGCTTGCAAAGGAAAAATGAGTTCGACAGAGTCTCACTGGGTATATGAACCACACTGAGGTCATACCCAGGAGTGGACAGCCAACACAAAACAAACTTGATTACAATTTTCAGATTTTTGTCTTATAAAGATTTATTTTTAATTTTGTGTGTGTGAGTGTCAGGGTGTGTACATGTGAGAGCAGGTGCTCTCGGAGGCCAGAAGAGTATGCTGGATTTCCTGGACCTAGGGCTATAGGCACCCACCCGACCTGGTCCTGAGAATCAAATTCAAGTCTTCTTCAAGAGCAGTACATGCTCCTAACCACTGAGACATCAGTGCTGCCCCATGGTAATGGCCTGTTTACCAGGGATTCAAAAATAAGGCACGGTATGAGAAAAGGCCTCAAGATTCTTCTGTCCTTCTGGGGAGACCTCACAGCCCAACCCAAGATCTGAACACCAAAGTAAGGTCAGTGAGTGCTCATCAGGCAGGGGACAGAGGGTGTTACAGAGGGCAGACAGGCAGAGCCTATCACTGTGTGCTGCGGGAGGGGACAGGTAAGTCATCATCCATTTACAAGGTCATGGACTATTTCTGCCCTCCAGAGTATCGCTGTCCATCAAAAACGTAAGGAGTGCTGAAATGGGGTACAGGGTCACAGAGAATGTAATCCTGACCACAATATATGGTCTGGTGTTAGTGTCACATTTTAACTAGTTCCTAGTTAAAATGATGGAGGCAGATTTAACAGGCAAAGTTAAAGAATTCTGAAAGGAGGCTTACATAAAAACATCTGTATGTATCTAGCGAGAAATGGTATCCTGATGGACAGAGGAATCCTTTCAATTAACAAAGACTCAAACGTGTAATAAGAACAGCTCGTGAAGGTGGGGTTTAGATGATGGCCACAGGTATAGTCATGTGTACCACACAGGAAGACCAGCTTGTATGTGAACCTTGGGTATCTGCATAGTAGACCCAACTTGGAAAGGAGACTTCACTTGGATATCAGTCCTTCTTAGGACATAAGTATCTTAATCACTGAGAGGCCCAGATTCTGGGCTCTAACTTTCCCGAAGATTGTGAACAAATCAAACTCCACTACAGAGCAACAGTACTGAAAACAGCGTGGTATTGGCATAAAAACAGACAGGAGGATCAATGGAACAGAATTGAAGACCCAGCTATCAATTCATACATCTACAAACACCTGATTTTTGACAAAGAAACAAAAAAATATAAAATAGAAAAAAGAAAGCATATTCAACAAATGGTACTGGATATCAACATGTAGAAGAATGTAAATAAATCTATATCTATCACCATGTATAAAACTCAAGTCCAAATGGGATCAAAGATCTCAACATAAAGTCAGCCACATTGAACCTTATAGAATAGAAAGTGAGAAGTATACTTGAACGCATTGGCACAGGAGACCACTTCCTAAATATAACCCCAGCAGCACAGACACTGAGAGAAACAGTTAATAAATGGGACCTCCTGAAACTGAAAAGCTTCTGTAAAGCAAAGGACACAGTCAACAAGACAAAACGTCCCTACAGAATGGGAAAAGATCTTCACCAACCCCATATCTCACAGAATACTGATCTCCAAAATATACAAAGAACTCAAGAAACTTGACATCATAAGAACAAATAATCCAATAAAAAATGGGGTACAGACCTAAATGGAGAAATCTCAACAGACAAACCTCAAATGGCTGAAAGACACTTAAGGACATGTTCAACATCCTTAGCCATCAGAGAAATGCAAATCAAAATAACTCTGAGATTCCATCTTATACCTATAAAAATGGCCAAGAACAAAAATACCAATGACAGCTTATGCTGGAGAGAATGTTGGGATAGGGAACACTCCTCCATTGTTGGTGGGAGTGAAAACTGGTACAGCCCCTTTGGAAATCAGTATGGTAGTTTCTCAGAAAATTAGGAAACAACTTATCTCAAGACCTAGCAATACCACTTTTCGATATATATATATATATATAGAAATATATATATAGAAATATATATAGAAATATATATAGAAATATATATAGAAATATGATATATATCATATATGATATATATGATGCTCAATCGTACCATAAGGACACGTGCTCAACTATGTTCATAGCAGCATTGTGTTTGTCATAGCCAGAACCTGGAAACAATCTAAATGCCCCTCGACTAAAGAATATGCCCCTCAACTGAAGAATGGATAAGGAAAATGTGGTACATTTACACAACAGAGTACTACTCAGCAGTATAAAAAACAAAAAGACAATGACATCTTGAAATTTGCAGGCAAATGGGTGGATCTAGAAAACATCATATTTTGTGAGGTAGCCCAGACCCAGAAAGACAAATATAGTATGTTCTCATTCATAAGTGGCTTTTAGACATAAAGCAAAGAAAAAGCAGCCTACAATCTACAATCTCAGAGGACCTAGACAACAAAAAGTATCCCAAGAGAGACATACATGGATCTACATAAAAAAGAGAAAAAGACAAGATCTCCTGAGTCAATTGAGAGTGTGTGGGGCTCACCAGAGAGGGTAGAAGGGGAAAGGTAAGGAAAGGAGGGGAGTAGAGAAAAATGTATAGTGCAATAAAAGCAATAAAAATGATAAAAAAGAATAAAAGAAATTAAAGTTAAATACCTAAAAATAATATTGTAACCACCCAATGTATTCCACTAACTACTATCATTTTAAATTAAATTTAAATTAAAAAATACAGGTAAAGGGCCTAAATTGACTGAGGTGAATAAATGATTTTAATTTCTAGGCCCCTCTAATAATCCGTTGTTTTCAGAAGGCAGGAGACAGTGTTTGGAGGGATAAGTAGGCATACCGAGTCACATGGTTGACACTGTGGCTTACCTTTGTAATTGTTTGAGGTCTCACCAGCTGGCAATAGGAAGTAGTACTGGGTATCTCGTCCGCTGTACAGGGTGTGTGGAGAAGTGTTTCCTACCCGGTAGCGAAATTCATAATGGAAGTCCTATGATCCAATCCGTGGGAGCAAAAATAAACAGGAAACTGAGCACAGTATGGATGGAATCACCAATCAAAGCCACACACCTCTGCCCTCATGGCCATGGCGGTCGTGTTTTCAGCCTAGACCAGTACTGGCATCACCCTCAGTACACACAGATGGAAGAGCCCTCCTGGCGCTGTGGGACTTGTCGGTTCTTAAGCTGTAGGGCTTCTCATATTCTGCCCTTGGGTCAGCTAGCTCTCCTCTCTTTGGATCCCCTATCTGAGCGGTTTGCAACCTGTGGGTCACAACCTCTTCTCTATGCACAAGGGCAGGTTTCTGAGAAGGAACGTGGGGAGAACAGGACCGGGTCAGATGGTGTCCAGAGCCAGAGGACTCTGACTGAAAACTCACAGCCTTGTGCTGTGCCGCCATCTGACTTCAAAGGGAGCCTTGGTCAAAGTGGGCAAGTGTGGGTCAGAGACATGTCTTGGTGATGGAGTTATGCCTTAGGTTGATCCCCCACCCCGTTTGTATGGCCATAGTTAACAGAGTCTCCTGACTTTGTGACAAAGCCCTGCAAGGATCCTCTCCTTCTAATGAGGAGGCTGCTTTTAATGAGAAGTCCCCCATTCAGGCAGGAACGACTTTCTCACAATGCAAGGCAGGCTCAGCCCTGCAGCCTTCCAGGCAAAGAATTCCTATGATTTCCAAGAGCTGTGGTTGCTTGCACCCCTCAGGACAGACAAGGGGTCTCACATACCGGTTTCCCTGACATGCAGAAGACACTGAAGACGGTATGGGCCTCCATACCACTGTGGGGTCGCACCTGACAGGACATGTCCTGTGGGACCTGGTTGACCGTTATGTAGAGCTGAGCTTTGCCTAGTAAGGCCTTTTTTGAAGCTAAGAGAAAGACAGAATGGGGGTTTCAGCCAGCATAGAGAAGTAGAGTGGAGAATATACATACATACATACATACATACATACATACATACATACACACCTACCCCCCCCCCACACATATATAACACACACATTTCCCATGCACCCAGCTTGTGTCTAGAATCTGACGCAGATATCTGCTAAGAATTCTCTGGGCAGATATACCCCAACAGGCATAGTTATTACTCCCCAGTGATTAAACACCATGTTATATCCCTTCTGCTCTATTAATTACCCTTCAATAATTTATTAGCATTCACATTTTTTAAATTTGGATTTAAAAATTATCACATTTAGGATAAACTATGGGCTGGAGCTTTCTTTGTCACATTGTCAAAAGCCCTCACCCGGCCCTGGGGGGACTGTTTGTGTGGCCTCTGGCAGGCTGAACACTGCCTGTGCATCCTATTTAACAGCGGGGTGACAACAGTGACTGCAGAGAATGGGCCCTTCGACACAAGTGACATCCAAGAGGATGCGGAGACTAGTTCTGCCTTGCTGAGCATTTAGAGCTAACAACCCTGGGGTAGGAATAGCATACTGGCCTAAGAAAGGGACATAGGGGCAAGCGTGTTCCCCTGAAACAACACAAGCAAGGACAGCCACACAGTGCCATATGCGATGGAGAACACAGGAGACTGAAGCTGTTAGGGAGGCTGTGTGTGGGCTAAGTGGTGGCCAGCGGAGCAGGACACCTGGAGCCTGAGATCAGCTCTCCCAGGTGGCCAAGGACACTGAACAGGATCCAGGGACCATGGGAAGACTCGCAGGCATCTCCTGTACGTGGCCTAAGAAAACGTCTTTCAGTTTGTTCATTGGTGGATTTAAAAACAGGTGTGGGAGCGCGGCACATGAGCTACCAAGAAGCAATGGTATCCGTTATTACAGAAGCAAGCATTGTCTCTGGGGGCAGAAGCAGCGTCTCAGGCCTTAGTGTCTAGACTGGCCAGGCAGAGATTCACAGCAGTGGTGAGAATCCAGAAGGGCCAGTCTCTTTAATATCAGAAAACAACCAGCCTTGGGCTGCCTCCTTGGGCGATGTATATACAAACCCAGGAGGCAAAACTGCAAGTGCACAGTAAGTTTTGCTTCTCTGTTTTTGCTCTGAGATATGGTCTGACCTTGAACTTGCAATGCTCTTCCCTCAGCCTCCCAAGTGCTGTGATTACAGATGAACCACTAGGACTGGTTCATGGTGGGCTCTAACGAATGCAAAAATGTGGGTGAAGAATCAATCATGCGTATCAGTGGAACCTTCAGTGCTTGTTAAATGGGACCTTCGTCTCCAGAAGTGGGGGAACGTTTAAAAGTTACCCAAAAGAATGCTTTCAGATTGAGTCATAAAAATGCAGGAAGAGTTGCCGGACACTAAGCAGGGTAAGCCTGTGGTAAATTCCAGCCCATGCTGAACACTTAAAAAACAACGGCACTAACACATGGTTGGGATTAAATATATGCAGGGCAGGTGGCCCAGTCGGGTGTGGTAGTTTGAATACAATGGCCCCCATAATCCCACAGGGAGTGGCGCTATTAAAAGCTGTGTCTTTGTTGCGGTGGGTATAACCTTGTTAGAAGAAGTGTGTGGCTGTGGGGGCGGGCTTTGAGGTTTGCTATCCTCAGGATAGTGCCCAGTGTGTCAGTCAGCTTCCTGTTGCCTGCAAGATGTAGGACTCTCAGCTACTCCAGCACCATGTCTGCCTACACGCTGCCATGCTCCTGCCATGATGATAATTGACTGAACCTCTGAACTGTAAGCGAGCCACCCTGATTAAATGTTTCCTTATAAGAGTTGCTGTAGCCATGGTGTCTCTTCACAGCAACAAAAACCCTAAGACATTAGGCATCTAGCAAAAAACTAAAACAAAGACAAAAACAAAACAAAAATCAACAAACAAACAAAACCCAAAACCAAAACACACAAACAAATATATAAGAAGGACAGTAAGTGGTCATTTAACCTGTTCTAAACACGCACCTGATGTCATAAGAAGACCATGACAACAACTAATGCGGGTAACACACAATGGGGTGGTGGTAGGAGAAGAGAAGGAAGGGTAGGGCCCAGGGCAAAGAGTTTCAGGAAAGAGTCACTGCAATTTCTAGGAAAAAGTATGATAAGACCGAAGTGTTCATGGTCCCCCACACTAGCTATAACTTGTATGTTGACATACCTACAGACGCCTGAAAGACATACATCTCGCCACTGCTCAGTGAGAATGGTCTTATTGTCACATCCGGTCCCATGATACCTACAGAAGAGAAAGTGTCCACGTGAAAGTGGCAGTCAGTGGGCTCTCAGGAATGAGCCCCACTTTTGCTCCAAGGGTACCAGTCAATAATACATGTGGTTTGAATAGGTATGGCCCCTATAGATGTATGTGTTTCAATACTTGGCCCATAGGAAGTGGCACTATTAGGAGGTATGGCCTTGTTAAAGTGGGTGTGGCCTTGTTGGAGGAAGTATGTCACTGTGTAGGGGGGGTAGACTTTGAGGTGTCATATGCTCAGGCTACACCCAGTGAGGGACACAGTTTCTTTCTGCTGCCTGTGAATCGAGATGTAGAACTCTCAGCTCCTTCTCCAGCACCATATCTGCCTGCATGTGGCCTTGTTTCCCACCATGACGATAATGGACTAAATCTCTGAAACTGTAAGCCAGTCTCAATTAAATACTTTCCTTTATAAGACTTGCTGTGGTTATGGTGTCTCTTCACAGGAATAGAAACCCTGAGACACATGTTCTACTAATACTTGGGAAGGACACTAGTCTGTGTGTTACTAGCCTTCTTTGAGGAGCCCAAATTTTTATCTCCAGGCCATTCTCACCCAACAGAAGCAGTATTGAGGTGGATCAGTTCGCCTCAGCTCAGATGAGGTAGATTTCCCTAGCAACAAGAGAATGCTGATAAGATCTCAACTTGTGCATTTACAGCAAGCTTGGTATTTGAGGTTTTATTTTATAAATTTGGCTTATCTGATATAGTATGACTGACATTTGCATTTTGGAGAATTTTGGTGATGAAAATTTTTAACTCTTTCCCTGCAAGAGTAAGCTGTCCTATCTTGCTTAGCCTTCCTCAAAATTGGGAGAGATACAAGATACAAGACAGGTGATTGGAGAGAGCAAGGGGGAAAATCCCTTAAAAATAGCATGAAATCCATAGTTTCCCCCAAAGGGCATGGGGTGACCCTACTCACATGCAGTACCCAGAAAGGCAGTGATCCACGAGAGCAGACAAACCAACATGCCTATGCTGGGGGAGAGAATTTCAAAAATTCCTTTCCCGCAAGGCCAGCTTTATCTAATCCGTCCATGGAAATGGAACATGTACTCTACGCAAGGTCTTAGGGACAGTGGATACCATGTGCTGAGGTTCCACCCAGAACCAAAGCTCTCTGCTGCTCTGCAGCTGGGGACTCCTAAGAGACAGCTGCAGCTTGCTTCATCCTTAGAGAAGAAGCCACGGGATGGGCTGTGGTCCATAGAAGGACAAGCATGAACAGGGAAGGCTGGCTGGTTCCTCTCATCCATTAAGATAAAAGACTCAGGAGAACCTGAGGGCTGAGTCTCAAATGCTTCTGAAATGTTTGTGAATCCGGAGTGTGAAGAGCATGTTCGTACCTGAGGAGGTGTAGCTGTGGAAGACAGCTCGGCTGACCAGGGCCTTGGGCCAGTCAATCATGAGAGCCGGCTTTGCTCTGCCTGTGTGGAGGAAAGGGCCCAGCAGATTGTCCCCATCACTGGCACTCTCCTGGGCATTCATGCTTGGTCCCGATTCCTGGAAGTTGGTACCGGTCCCTATGAAGATAAACCATGCCACAGGAGAGAAAGGGAAAGGTCTCAGTTTTGTAAAGCATGAATGTCAAGGTTGATGCTAATACCGATTTCTGTGGTTTCTGGATAGGGTATATCTAAAGCCATGCCTTTAGTAAGTGTGCGTATTCAAGAGATGTCCCTTAGTGTCTTACAACCAACCTCCCATTAGATCCTTTCTGTCCCTCCCTCCCTTTTTATTCTTTCCCTCCTCACTCCCTCACTCATCTTCTTTCCTTCCTTCCTTCCTTCCTTCCTTCCTTCCTTCCTTCCTTCCTTCCTTCCTTCCTTCCTTCCTTCCTTCCACCTTGCAATCTGGAATTTCATAATGCAAAGTCAGGTGATGCTAAATGAGGAAAAAAGTGCAGCAGATCGACAGAGAAAGCGAGTGTGGGGAACAGAAGGGGACCTCTGTTGGCGGGGGTGGGGAGCTTCTGTTGGAGGGGTGGCAGGGATTCGGAGCAAAGGATGAGTTCAGTGAAGATCTGGAGGAAGTTTCCAGGTTGTGTAGAAACCAAGTGTGGTGGGAATGGTCCTCCACACATGGCTGAAGAAAGAGAATGGGGACCAGAAGGTGAGCAGTAAAGACATGCCTGTGGCCACCTTTGAAACCTTTGTCTTGCAAGTGTTAGGAAGCCACCAGTAACCAGAGGAAAGTGACCATCTTGTTTGTGTCTGAGAAAGGCCCCTAGCTACTGTGCAGAGGATATGATTGCAGGCGGCAGGCACAGAGGCAGAAAGCCATTGTGTAGTCTGGGGAGGAATGGCATGGGAAGGTGCTGAGCTGACTGAAGACTTCAAAAAAAAACCCCACAGAAATAAGATACAGTACCAAAAGACCTCGAGGAATTAGGATGTCCCCTTTCAGAAAGAGTCATGCTACGAACAGGATAAGATCATGCCCATTCTGTCTATTTGCTAGTACTGATTTGGCACCTGCCAGGCCCAAGCAGGACCCCCAAAACAGACCTGCATATGTAGTTCAAATTTTCATTTTTTTCTGTATGATTTTTATGGCTTGAATATAAGGTTATCCTCACAGGTCCATGTTAAATGCTTGGTCCCCAACTGGTGATGCTCTTTTTGGAGATTCTGGAAAGTTTAGAAGGTGGAGCCTCACTGTGAAAAACCCACTGGGGGTGGGTCCTTGGTGGTATGCTGCCCCTAACTTCTTTCTATCTGGCCCTCTGCTTTCTGTCCACCATGAAGAGAAAATCCCCTTTATACACACTCCCACTGAAGTGACCTTCTACCCAGGAACGTGGGGTCAAGTGACCGTAACCCAAACTCTGTGAAACCATGAGGCAAAACCAGTAACCAGAAAGCTAACCAATGCAATCATGTCTCAGTATCCTACAAGTAAACCAAACAGCAGCAAAAACAGTCTTTCTGGCTAGACAGAGGCCACTGTCCTGGCCTAGGCATTCCCTAGTGATATCAAGGGCCTCATCAGGAGCAGCTCTACCTGATCCACAGCCAGGACCCCTCTGTCCTGCTGTACACTCTGGGCAGCCATCCTCTTCTTACTCATCCCAGAGCAAGGTGCCAGGTGACTAGGTGACTAGATGACTAGATGCCATACCAAGCATCACCCCCACTGTCCACAGCCTACTGGAGTTACTCTGATTGTCAGATCCTGAAGGACATGTTGCCTATCTTGTTCCTCTCTTTGAAACCCCAGTGAAACTGGGGCTCATGGTCCACAAGGCTTTCTTACAAGGCCCCGAGTGGTTGGCCACATGTCTATTTCTAGGATTTATGGCCATAACACACTTTGTTTTCCCAGGTCTCTTTTCTGCTTCCTCCTATGACTGCCTATGAGGAGCATCTCACACAGAGAACTGAAGAAATCCTCGGTCTGAGACAGTTGAAGAAAATACAGCAGTGAATCAGAGAACCAACACATTAACTTAACCACTAAGCATCATTCATCATCTGCCTGTTCTGTCAACAAATTAATCACCTACCTATTCATTTGGTAGACACAACACACTCCAATTATCCATCTGTTCACTAGAGAGTAGTGTTCGCTCCTTGTCTGTCTATTCTGCAGAAACATAGGTCACCTACTGATCGTACGATCAGTACCTATTTACACGATACATTGATCATCCTAATCAATGCACTGGGCATCACGACGGTTCTGGGGACATGGAAATAAGCTAGTTGTGAAATTTTCGTGAAGATGTCAGGTGTATATGAGACAGACACAGAAAGACATCACAGGTCCAGAAGCCACCTGCTTAGAAGAAGTAGGGGTGGAAGTGTGACAGGGGTCATCACGGTGCTGAGGGAGAATTCAGAATGGGGAGAGAGAGGGAGCCTGCAAGAAGGATGATGAGCAAGGAGGCAGGGCGAAGGAGCACTTAGGGAGGCCTGTACATCTACGGTCACCATGCAAGGCACCTCGGGTCTGGATTGCCAATAGTTGGGCCTCAGACCACTGGAGTTTAATAGCAGAGGGCTCAAGATGAGCAACAGTAAGTGAACCAGGAGTGAGGTCTGTGCCCAAGAGGGGCTCACAGTCTCCATTTGAAAATCCCCTAGGGGATTGTTAGGTGGCCTTGCTGTTAGGGGCAAGCATGAAGCGTCCAGGATGGTGGTACATAGTAAGCCTGGGTGCAGGACTCTCCTACATGGGGACAATCATAAAAGTGGTCACCTGGCTGTCTTCCAGGGGACGGCACGTCTTCTTGGATGTCACTATAATAGGCTTCAAAATCTACATAAGAGGGAAAAATTACACTTCATTTGAAGACACAATTAATAAGTGCTGTGTGTTGTAGACTAAAACCCCCGACACCAAGATCTTGTAAGGCTGGAGAAGTAGAACTTCATGATCGTGCGGAGTGAGAATGTTGCAGATCAGAGCCAAACTATCCAAGCCATTTCTTAGTTCCCTTAAGTTGTTAATCATTTCCACTCCCATGCCTGACAGAACATCTTTTTGACTATAGATAAAATCTTTAAATTGTATTTTTAGCAGAGGACTATTTGCTACCAATCCTCAGCTAAAAATGCTGCCAGTCCAAAACCTGTGTGACTTTCTCCCATTTGACTGTAAGACACCAACTGGTGGTGTCCCCCTTACACATACACAATGTATTTGATACAACTTTCTTTGTTGTATAACTAATCAAATATCATGTAACCAGTTCTGCTATGGAATGCAGTATTAAGGGCAAACTTATTTGTGTTCCTGAACCACTATCACTCATATTTGGGTCAAGAATAAGAATAAACTATCCCTTAGCCGGGCCATAGTAGCACATAGCAATAATTCCAGTGTTTGACGGATGAAGACAGAAATATAAGGAATTCGGCCTTAGCTACATAGGGAATTGGAGGCCTGGGCCACATTAGTTAGAACCTGTTTCAAAATAACAACACCAAAATACTATTTTATTACCCTGGGGTTGAAGCTGGGCTCTGCACTCAACATGGACCCAGTACTCTTAGACGCAGGACAAAGGCGGAAGTGACTTCAAGCCTGTCCCATTAGATCCACTCCTTCCAGGTGAGCCTGGTGCCTAGATACAAGGATGTGCAGAGATGGTGGCACTTACCATCAAAGGCAGGGGAGGAGCTAGAAGGAAGCCAGCTTCCCTCTGGGGCGCCCATCTTCAAAGCTTCCTCATCCAGGGAACCTGGAGCTGGACTCAGTGAGCTGGAGTCCTCCATGGGCTCCCCGGAGCCTGCCATGGGACCCACCACTGCAGAAATGTGGTGTCCTCCCGCTGCGGACTCAGAGTAAATGCTTCCCAGGTTGTGAAGAGCTGTCCAGCTCGGGGGCATGGGTGACCGCTCTGGTGAGTGTCGTGTCGGGGATCCTCTTGGGCTTGATTGCAGGTCTGACTGAGACAACTTCAGAATGGCCCCGGATGCTGAAGCGCCCAGCAGCCTCACAGTGCTGCAGAAGGGGACTTAAACACGGGTGTGAGAGGGTTAAAATTCTGCACTGAAAATATAAAATATAGGTTTTTTTTTTTTTAAAAAAAATATACAGTCTGTGGGTTCAGTGCAAGATGGCTCAGCTGATAAAGATGCTTGCTTAAGAAGCCTGGAGACCTTAATGTGATATCCAGGAGTTTTGTAATGGTGGTTAACCTCCACATAGGCACTGTGGCATTCCCCAGCCAACACACACACACACGTTAAAAATAAAAACACATACACATACAGGTTACATAAGCATGTCTACCTGCGAGGCGAAGATATTGTCTGAGAGTTTGGACTGACCATTGCCACCTCGGGGCTGAGGTATGCAGTACCTTACATAGTCCTGGAAACACAAGAAGCGAAACAGAACAGAGGCCGTGGAGGCTTGGCTGCCAAAACTCCCTAGGAGAAGCAGGAAGAGGGCCCCAAAATTCTCACCTGCGATTCCAGCCATTTTTCCTAACCGTTGGTGGTCTGGGGACAGGTGCTAGAATGCATAGGGTGGGATTCCAGTGTGGCAGCTTTCCTGAGTCATCACCCAGGCTTTTGGGTGACACATCTGTTTTTAAGTCACCTATGGTACTGTCACTAACCCTCCAGTGATGCTCCTGACTTGAGTGGACTTCTCATCAGGAGTGTGTCTTGGTGCCACGTCTGGGGTGACTGAACACTTGTTCCCATCTTCCCAGGAAGCACCGTGCTACTGTAAACAAGCCTGCCATGGAGCCCTGATGCTCAGATCAAGACCCAGGCACATGGCTGTGGCCTGGTGCCGAGGAAGCCAATACATGACCTAAACGTGTGCAAGTAGGGAAGGAAACTCTGGATCTCTTCTCTTGCCTGAACTTGCTCTCCCCAGTCTGCCTTCAGACTAGAGGGTGACCCTACCAGGTTCAACGAGCCCACTGTGTGAGTGACTCTATTCTGGAAGAAATTCCCCCGATCTTCATTTCCTCCCTGACAATGAGGGCTCAGTAAATAATTCTAAAAGGCATCACCAGGGCTTATGATAAAGGAGCAATGACAAAAAATTCACGGACAGAAATAACTCTTTGAAAAGGCAGCTTTTGTTCCTGACCAGGGCAGACCTTTCTGCCTCTGTCCTCCATGGTGTCCTTTACGGTGAGCTAGTGGTTTGTCTCCCTGTGTTCTGTGAACCTGCTGTCAGAGGGGGTGATGGGAGCCCTTGTCAGCTTTCTCTGAGATACGTTGGTCTCAGGCAGCACTGGCCTTGTCGAAGCCAGTGTCTCTACTGTAGGTCCTCACTTAGGTTTTGGGTTTTGATTCATAAAGGTCTAGTTTGTCTTAAGGAATTCAGAGCCCCCTCTCCTGTGGTATGAGACACAATCGACTGGATGTCCTTGTTGTGTTTGTGTGGGGGGGGGGCTCTGAACTCCAAACTCTGCTTTATAATGTTTTCTAAGAGCCCCAAATGAACTAAAGAAAACATGGCAGGCAGCCAGTGTCACTTCCTGTTGGAACTCAGTCTCATTCCACAGCATCCCACTACTCCGTGGAGTGGTGTGAGAAAGGAGGAACGCGAGAGTCGGGGGTGGATAAGAACAAATTCACAATATTCTTCAGCCCAGGCGAATGAGAGGCCTGAGACCCCAGACACCCCCCCCCAGTTCATTCTCATCAGCCTGGTGGGTTTCTCTAGACATCCTGACGTGGAGGAGATAACTCATACCCTAGTGAAGCCCCTTCTTTCCTCCTGGAATGCCTCACGTCACCCAGTGACTGCCAGTCCACCCACTGTGCTCTTCTTAAGCCCTGCCCCAGGGTGGAATCACCAGAGACACCCCCCCCCAACGTGTCATTTCGGGAGCACTTATTCTGAGTAACTGCAATTCCTGCTTTCTCCCTGTGGCCATCTTCATCAGGACTTGATTAACTCTCTTTCCACACACAGTATGCCTCAACTTCCCATTTAGAGAGCAGCAGAGACCCGAGATGCCAGTCCTTTCTGGAACTGCACCCTCCACCAGTGATCCCAGTCCTTCTGGGACTCTCCTGGAAGCTTTGTTACATAGTTATGGGTGATTACATCACCCTGCCCCAGTGTTTGGGATGGCCAAGCCTCATCTCAAAGATACGCAGTGGCTGCTAGCCACCTGTCAGCTCGTTACCATATGAAAACATGATCGCATGAAACAGTCCAAGGATTTTAGGAGCTGTATACCTGGAAAGAGGACTGTAGAGCCAACGCAGATGTCAGTGTCCAAGTCCACTGCTCTCTGGACAGTGAACGCCATCACAGATCCTTTGCAATGGCTGCCTGTGATTCTCAACCAATAAAATGGCCCAAGTGAGTCTGTGCTCAGCCTCCTTACGGCACATATGTGGGGAACCATTATGGGACTGTCACTAGGTGTCTGGAAGGCTGAGGTGGGATGAAGTCCTCAGCCACCCCAGAACAACCCTTTTTTTTATTCATCAGAAAAAGAGTAGCCATATTACCTTCCACGGTATTCTTTTCTGTCGCATTGACCAGGAAGAGATCCCAGGAATAAGTGAGGTCGGGTATATCGTCACAGTCTTCACACACAGCTCGGAGAGACAGTTCTTCATTCCAGTTTACACGGATGTCTTTAAAGTTGACCCACGAGATGTAGACGAATCTGGAACAAGCAATTGCTTTGATGTTGTTGGAAAATACCACGTGCATCCTTAGGCTGCATTCGTTTGGATGGGCCATGTTTGAACCATCTGTGCTGGCTCTGTATTTTGAGAACTGAATGTATTGTCAGAGCCTGTGTGGGGGATCACGGACCATGTGACCAGCTTCCAGGCTTCACACAACAGCCAGTGTTTTACCGAATACACCAGACAAGCACACTCACACCTCACCAGGTTCAGGGAAGCTGTGACTTCCTCAATGTTGAACAATCCTGGGCTCTATTCCCTCTGTTGCTCAGCCTTGGCTCTGGCCGGGCTGTCCAAACACAGACGTCAACACTTGAGTTACCTCTTTACCTTTTTACTACATGTTTGCCTCCGCAGATACAGACCACTTTCATCGGGGCCTTTCCAAATCATCTGCCTTTGCCACAGTCATCTGGCTTAGCTTTGCCTCCCACTTGGGCCGGGCTATTAGGTCATGAGCTGCCCTGTGCCTTATAGTGCCCACAGGGACCACACCTTGCACAGTTCCCCATTGCATCCACACATCTCTGAGTCACTATGGCTACATCCTGGCAATTTCTTTAGGCTCTTTGCTGGCCCAGGGCTGAGTTCCCAAAGCATTTCATAAACTCTGGTTCTTTGGAACATCGTCAGGTAGCGAGAGAGACCATGTTGGGCCTCGTTATGTGGATTCCATTCCTATAGGACTTGAGGACTCTTAAATGGCTGAGTATGGAGGGGACTTTCTAGGTGGTGTGCAAGAAGTCTGTGTGCCTTTCACTATCAGGTACACCCCACGCCATGACTTCACCATGGAACATTAAGTGTAGGAAGCAAAAAGGAACATGGCAGGCCAGGTTTGCTGTTTCCTCAAAAGGAATCAGCCCATCACATGTTTGTATGTACCTTTGTATGTGTGTGTGTACATGTATGTACTAGCTGCTGGTCATAGTTTTCAGTTACTTGCAGTCAACCAACATCAGAAACATTAAATAGAAAATCCCAGAAACGAACTATTTGTAAGTGTTCAGGTATGCCATTCTCAGAAACGTGTAATTCGTGTGCTAGCCCCAAAGTCGGTTCCCCTGGAATTCAGCCCCTGCCCAGTCACATATAACCTAGACCCAGAAGGGGGAGCCCAGAGGCTTCCATGTCCTTGCCCATCCTGACAACTCAGCTCAGCCCTGGTATACCTGCTTTGGGTCTCTGGCTATACATGTGAGTACTTTGGTAGCCTTGGTGATGAAGCACTTATGTGTTTGGTTCCTAGCATCTCTTTGTGATCTCTCATGCTCCAGGATGTCACAACTGGACCTGTACTTGCATCCCTTCAGTCCTGTAATTCCTAGAAGGCTCCCTAGTCTGGAAATCAGAGCCGCCTTCTAACATCAGCCTTAAGCACTGGTCTTCAATTTAGGGGACGGGTGCTGTTAGAGGAAGGACCCACCGATGTGCCACTGTTAGCCCAGGAGACAGCAGAGCTACCCACGACACTAGCCCCTCCCTTCTTACTTAGGGGTGTGGTCCCCACATGGCTGAACTTTACACTTGTCTCCATTCACAGAGTCCTAAGCTGCCACCACCAGCCAGAATGCTTAGTTACATATGTGCAGGGCAAGGGTACCTGAAGTCCGGGTCTGAACGGGTGGACAGGAATATCAAGGCCTGAGAAGAGTTCTGCCCATTGCTGGAGACTATCAGGGTCACAAGGAACTGGTCACAGCACCCACTGAGCCATTTTGCTGGGAAGGAAATGGCAGGAGCCTGAGTGTCTACTTGGTATGGAGTAGAGTCCTCAAAGCAGGACCACCTTGGTGAGCTGGCTGCGGTGCAAGTCCAGTGATACCTGTCGAAGAAGCCATTGGAGGGGCGTGGTTAGCATCACTGTGTGTTAAAGGCTCATGTGGCTGGGGAGAGGTGATACTCCTTCCTCTTTGACATCAGTGACAGGGCTGGGCCTGTCTCTCCCACTCACTGGCACAAAGACCACTGTAATCCAGCTAGAGTTCTGCTTCTGGCTGACTTGTGTCCCGTGTACAAAGTGACTCCCTCTGCTCATAAGAAACACAGCCCTGCAGAGCCTAGAATGCCTCCCTCACTATGACTCTGCCAGTGGTGCATCTCACCTTGTGGAGACAACTCCACAAGGTAAGACAGCAATGTCACGTTATCCCAAGTTTAGGAAGAGAACACCTTGGTGGAGGCCTTGGGAAGCTGCCCCGTTCCTTCAATCTCACCATCTTTCTGGAAAATGGTAATTGCTTGAGCCACAAGACAATGATGGTTGCGCCATCAGGGTGGAGGAGGAGGACAGCATCATCCCACCCTAGAGCAGATCTTAATCCACAGGGGAGACATGCTTAAACAGGCATGCGGCAGGCAGGAAACGGTACACAAATGCACTGGCAAGCTGGGCCAGCCCCGCCATGGCATCCTGCTTCCATAACTGTCACTGAACTCTATTGAGCCTTAAAAGTCCGTTTCCTTGTGTAGCCTGCAGGTGCTGCATTCTGAGGAGGTGCTGCAGCATTCTCTTAATCTCCTCTGGGAAGAAGCATCCCTGGAGTACACCAGAACTCAGTGCCCAGTGCAGCTCACATGCTGGATAGAGAAACTGTCCCATGATTCCCCCTGAAGATTCCTTACTGCCCAGAAGCACATCCAGCAGGAGATACCGAGCTCTCGTGTTCAGGCACTGTGAGGACTCCTAATAGTTGGTGGTGTGAAGATGATGGAGACACAGCCTTAGTCTGTCTGGCTTAGGGTGAAGAACTGGTCACTGAGAGCTGTATCTACAGCATGTACAATAGTAGAATCGGGAAGGGGTCGACCTCTCACCTCCACGGCACTAAAGAAGTGCCAAGTCGCACACTTGGGTGTGGCAAACATCACAGCAGGGGTTATAACCCCAAAGGGACCTCTCTACTGATTTGTCAATAAGGGACTATGTGCCAGACCCAGGGATATAGCCAGTGAGAGCCCTGTTGTTCTGAACTCAAACTCCATGATGGAGGGCAATGAGCAGCAAGCAGTCTTACGAGTGAGGAACAGGTAAGACAGGATTCACTCCAGACAGGACAGTGGCTTCCCCTCTGAGTCAAAAGGGTGTGAAAAAGGTCAGAGCAGGGAAGTGAGAGCTTCTGACTTTTCCTAGACAACTCCATCCTTGGAGGATGGACATACGCTGAGGCCCAGGTGTCTCCACCCAGGCAATGTAGGGGAAGTATACGGGGTTGGTTTCTATGGGAGACCTAATGAGATCTCCTGACAGAGGAGACAGAGTGGGAGCAAAGACTCTGAGAAAAGTTTCAGTTTGAGTGACGGGAAGAAATGTTTCCTTGGGGTCCCAGCACCAAGAAGGGGAAGTGGACATGAGCCCCCACCCCAACCCAGAAGCTATCTCCAGTTGACATATGCTCAAAAATGAGAATCCCCTTTCCTCCCCTGGAGTCTCATTGCGTATGCAAACCACACTTAAGGGCAGCAGTGGAGTGGCAACACAAAATGAATCCAGTGGTACTTTCGGATCTTTTTGTCTTGTACTGCTTTGTTTGCACACTTTTTAAAACCTAACCTAGCTTTGGCAGGTCGATTACAGTTTATGAGTGTGGGTTTTCATGGGTTCCATTTGTGTGTGTGCATTAGTGTGTATATGTGTTTCTTGTTTCTTTTCTTTCTTTTTTTATGTTCTAGTTTGTTTGCCTCTTTGTTTGAGAGACAGGGGCAGGGGCATGGATTGGACCTGTGGGGGGATCGGAGAGGATTTAGGATGATATGGGAGAGGGCAAATCATAATTAGAATATCTTGTATAAAAATTATTTTTAATTAAAAAAAAATATTCCCTGAATGAAGATGGGAAGCAAAGTGGGAAGAGGTGGAGCTTGTGACTGGGTGAGTTGAGGCCCGCAGGTGGTGGCGCTGCAGAGAGCCCAGAAGACATGAGTCTGTGGTGGTGATGGGGAGGGTTGAAGGTTGCCTGAGTGGGGGATGTATGCCTGGAGGAAGAGGTCCGCATCAGACGACTGGGAAAGGCCCACTGGGTTGGGCTGTCTGGCTCAGAGCCCAGGACCACAGAGCAGAGCCACCCTACAGGCAGCTCTCTGCCTCCCCCACACAAGGAGTCCTTATGAAAGGGGCGCATTTACAATGTGCCTTCCAAAATGGCATTTTAAGCATGAGCTTTAAAAAGTGACTCACGCTCTACTCACCTTTCCTGTATTGACTTACACTTGGACAATGAATAGAGCACTTCAAGTACAGAAAGCTGGTATGCGTAACTATCTCGACCACACTGGCCGAATTCCCAGACTAACTCTCCAAATATTCCTGAGCCAGAGTTTGAAGAAGTAGGAGCCTGAGAACCTTGCAGCTCTGGGCTCTTACCTGAGAGCCGCCCCAGGGTTGTCAGGGTCATAGGACTGGAAGCCTCTGAGGATGATGGAGGTTGTGGTGGTCCTGGGGATGAAGATGTGGGTGCCTTCAGAGATCACGCTGACAGGAGCCCTGGCTCGAACCTCCACACCAACACAGTAGTTGCTATACACCATACTTCCCTTGATCTGAACCTGAGGGACCAAACACAAGGGGTATTCCAGGAGAAGAAAGCAGATGCTTCCTGGAACTGCACATGGGACACTGACCCTCAGCTCTAACTGCAGGAGTCACCAACAGTGTTCATCAGAGGGTGTGGCTTGGGGGGGGGAAGAGCCTGGATCCGTTAATAACCAAGTCTGCCTAAATGCGCAGTCATCTAGGTGTGTGTTGGTCAGTATTCTTGTCAACTTGACACAAGCCAGAGTCGTTGGGGAAGAGGAAACCTCAGCTGAGAAAATGGCCCCATCAGATTTGCCCATAGGCAAGTCTGTGAAGCATTTTCTTGATTGGTGATTGATGTGGGAGGGCCCAGCCCACTGTGGGCGGCCCCATTCCTAGCCAGGTGGGCCTGGGGTGTATAAGAAAGCACACTGAATGAACCAGGAAAGGTAAGTAGTATTTCCCTACATTCTCTCCTTCAGCAGTGGCATCCCTTTTCTAACCCACGTGGTTCTATATAATTTTCCAGCCCCAAACATAGTACTAGAGAGCACTGGCTGAGTGTCACGCTGGGTACTTCTCTCGTGACCCTGCCCCCTAGTGGACATCCCTCCGTCAGTACAGGGTTTATTTAAAGTAGGTGCAAAGAAAAGGTGTCTTTAAAAAAATAAAAGAAGTTTTTTATTGATTACTTGGCCAACATTAGAACATATATTCTCTCTCTCTCTCTCTCTCTCTCTCTCTCTCTCTCTTTCTCTCTCTGTGTGTGTGTGTGTGTGTGTGTGTGTGTGTGTGTGTGCTGCATGCACCAGCACACCTACAAACCTGTCTCTGAATGACCCTCCTGAGTGCTGGGATTAAAGGACTGCATCACCACTGCCTGGCCGATCCCCCTCTTTTAAATTCTTCCATACTTGCTTCCACATTCTCTCGNTCTCTCTCTGTGTGTGTGTGTGTGTGTGTGTGTGTGTGTGTGTGTGTGCTGCATGCACCAGCCTAGACAATGAGTCACCTGTCTCTGCCTCTCCCCACAAGTACCGGGGTTACAGGTGCACACTGCCATGCCTGCCTGTTGTACACGGGTGCCGGGTATTTGAGCTCAGCTCCTCCCACTTGTAGAGTACAGCAAATGTTCTCTCCCACTGGGCCACTTCTCCAACTGAAGAAAAAAATCTCTCTTAAAATCCTACCCACACCTTTAAAACAAACAATCAACCAAATCAATTCAAACCAGACTAAAATAAAATCCAAACAAACAAAACTCCCTTTCATTGGCTGAAAGAGGTTTTCCTCTAGGGCTTGTGGAAAGAGTTGGCTGGCTCGACCGAGCCTGAGGATCTGTGAGTGAGCCCACCTTGGCCGTGGCAGTGTAGTTCCCACACTCTAGGGTGTAGCTAGGGAGCACGATGGTCTGCCCAAGGGTGTTGAGGGCAGCAGGGAGGGTGACGGCAGTCGCCTCAGCGTCCACAATGGTCCAGGTGTAGGAAAGCCCTTGGGAAATGTTACAGAGGACTGCAGCTTCCAGTGTCACTGCCAGTCTCAGGGGCTGAGAGCGCCATATCTGGGAATTAACATGAGAGGTCGTGTCAGTCAGTGTCCGCCGACCCGGATGGGACAGCACACTGTCAGAAAGTGTCACTGGTACAGCCCCCGCCATTGGTTTGCAAAATTACAGGGTGGGACCTGGGAGTGGACTTCAAATAGCACCTAGCACATTTATTTTACAGACGAAAGTAAACAGTAAACATACAAAAACAAGAAAAGTAAGTGTTTACACTTACATACTGATAGCAGGAGAAAAATAATCTTTTAAGCACGAAACCAATGGGAAAATGTCAAAGGAAAAAGTTACTAGATTGTATTACATGTTACTTGTTTGTGTATTTGTCACGGTATTCACAGCTGTGCTGTGCTTCCCACGCTCCTTATTCCCTTTCCCCATCCTCTGGGACTAGCTATAACGCAGCCCTCAACATCCCCGCCTGACTTTGGGATTTGTCCCTGAATGTGGAAAAACATTCCGGGTGAGTCTGTCCGGCCAGGGACCCCCTCCTGTTCTGGGGCTGATGCTAGGTGCATGGGCTCTCCCTGGAGGTAGCTCCATTAAATTTGAAAGAGAAAAATTCCTGGAGAAATGGAATTTTAAGAATTCAGCAACTTTAATGCTCATTGTATCTCTCCATCTTCCCTCTTGTATCCACCCATCATGTTTTCCTCCCCATTTCTTCCTCCTTTTTTATTTCTCCTTTGTCTCCTTATTACACTACACTTCGGTGCAAGGCCCATGACCAGGAGTTGTTGGCCAACGCAACACAGACCATATTTTTTTGTGAGTTCTTTTGTTTTAATAGCTTTTTGGTATTGACTTTCGTTTTTCTTCATATGCTTTGATTTCTGCTGTTTGTCTTGTTTTTTACAGAGTGAGAACATGAGGTGGGTGAGTAAAGAGGTGGGGTGGATCTGGAAGGAGCAGGAGGGGACAGGATGTGATCAAAATGAAACACATGGAAAAGTTTTAATTAAATGTACTTAAAGGTCAAAGGAGGTGTTGGCTTCCCTCCTCCCACTACTGATTGGGACTTTTAACCTTAAAATTTAGATGAAATACACTTTGTTATAAAGAAAACACAAATGGTATAAAGACTAGAATGTTTAAAAACAAAAAGAAGAAGAATGTATTAGTCTTACAACTGGGGAATTCATCTTCTGTGTTCTCCAAATAGCTTTCTATACTGTTTCGTTTACTGTTCAGCCCTTGTCATTGTTTCGTCTCTGAACTGATTTCACTGTAGGACTTGTAAGAAAGCTACCAGACATGGTAGCAATGACAAATTACAATACTCTCAATTTTCATACACATTCAAAATGATGAGATGCATTAAAACTATACAACTTTTGCTGGAGTAGGAGCTGGCTTTGCATGCTGGGAAATTGGGGTGCACAGGAGCATCCAGGAAGCACAGGTCAATTTCCCAAGAGAGGCGTTCTGCCCCTTAGCTCTGTGCCATGGAGACACTAAGGACACGAAGAGAAACATGTGCACCAGAGTGCTGCATGCTGAAGATGATGTGTGCACAGATGAGGGCCACATGCCATCTGTAGTAATGGAGAGTTAGAAATGATCAGAGTTCATTAATGAAGATGCTGGGAAATGGTTAGAATGTGTACATATGGTCCAGTACATGCCATCGTTAAAAACCAGCAGTTGTGGTGATGTACTAAGAGACAGTGATGCTATAATACAACGATTCAAATTTTGTCATTAAACACGCATTCAATCTCTCTCTCTCTTTCTCTCTCTCTCTCCCTCTCCCTCTTTCTATATCCCTCTGTCTCTGCATATAACAAACAATAGCAAGGAGCTAGAGAAATGGCTCGGTGGTTAAGAATGTTTTCTGTTCTTGCAGGGTAACTAAGTTTTCTTCCCAGTACCTATGTGAGGCAGCTCACATCCTCCTATAACTCCAGCGCCATGATGTCTGGCGCCCTCTGCTGGCTGTGCAAGCACCTGCATGCATATGCACATATCCTTATACTCACACAATTTTAAAATAATAAAGAAAATTTTAAGCAATAGAAAAACATTTAAAATAAATAAATATATCTCCTGGTGTCTATATTGTGCATAATTTCATTTTTCTTTATACTTTTAGAAAACACAAGAAATATAAAAAACAAATGGTGCCATCAATATTGCTTTCCATATCTTACAGAAAATGTTTTACAGATTAAAAACTAAACTCATTTATTTATGCAATATTTGTTCCTATGTATTGAGGCAGTTGAAAGTAAGCGTAAATTAAATCGAACAAACAATACGTCCATGTGTGGAAGTGTGGGCCTGTAATTCCGGCATACAAGAAGCTGCGGCAGGAAAACGGCGAGTCCCGGGATAGCCTGGGCAGCATAGCAAATTCAAGGACAGCCTGGGCTAAATAGCGATGCCCAATCTTAAAACGAAATAAAAATAAAGAACGTAAGGTAACAACAATAACAGTATATTCCTTCAAACAAAACAAAATCAAACAGAAGACAGGATCGGCTTCACGGCAGAGCAAGAATTCCAGCCAGAGCCTTGTGAGCTGAGGTCTTTCCCTAGAAGCCCTCGCATTTTGGTCCATCCCTCACACAGAGAGCACAGAACAGCCTGGCACCGTGGAGTGCTGGCTTGGAGAGCTACAGAGGTCTTGCCTCGCGGGCCGTGGACGCCCGATGGCCACAGCCTGCCCAGGGCAACCCCATACTCTCTTTGAAGTCCACCGCGCTCTGAGGCTGCTGGGACCTGAGATGCGCGGGGCTGGCAGCTGACCCACCACAGAACGCATTTTGGCAAAAGCCAGCGGCGAATTCTGATTCCCAAGCGGCAGGCTGAACACCTTTGACCTGAAAGTAAAACTGCTTGAAATCAAAGCCCTCAAAGAAGTGCAAGAAATAAAGGGCAGCCTTATTCTCTTTTTTCCCTTCATTTTGTAATTAGTACTCAACATATAATTGGTCATTTCTTTTCATTCTGGTGTCAGATTTTTCTTTGGACTGAAAATGCCATCGTTCTGTATATAACCAAAAAAGAAAGAAAGAAAAGAAAAGAAAAGAAAAAAAGCTACTCAGAGCAAGCTGCGCTGAATGTCAGTCATATAGGTAAATAAAAGGCTTATTCACCCGCTAGGAGCCAGGCTTCCCTCCAAATCCAGGCTCTCCCTGCTCAGGCACCAGCTTCCGAGCCCTCACAGGGACGCTTTTGTGCTGAGTGCAGCAGACAAGCTCAACAAAGCCTCCTTCATTCCCCAGCGAGCTCAGCGATTTTGAAGCAGCCTGTCTCGAGGCAGGCAGGTTGCTTGCCTAAGCCCAGCCCTACCTGAACCTTCTTAGGCCCCATGTTCTTCACCGGAGGTGGTTGGCAAGGCTCGTGCACGATGAAAAGCGGCTTCCTTAGAACGGCGGAGCTGATATTGTTGAAGGCCAGGACTTCAACTGTAAACTCACCCTCCCTGGAAGGGTGGAGAGCAGACATGGAGAGATCAAGGTTGCTCTACACTGACCCTCGATCCCTCTGCATCACCATCTGTGATGGCCACTGAACCCAAAGTGTAGAGACAGAAGGGGCCGGGGTCATGAAGTTGATCTCCACGGAGGTCATTCTCTGTCTACGTGGTGGAGGTGCCCATTATGTGTGGATTAGTCCCTGTGGAACTCAACTGGCAGTTACACGCTCCAAACAACATGACACTAGGCGAGGGCACACTGCTCCCAGTAGCCATGACCCAGTTCTCTACTGACCACAGAGTCACCCAAAGGCTGAGTCTCAAACTCTTCCCTGTGATGGACATTCCAGACTGGAACTCTGGGTCTCTGGACACATCTGGTCCTAGAGGTCAGATTTTCTGAATAATCCTTAGGGTTTAGGACACTAAAAAGGATAAGAATGGGTTTTAAACCTGAACCTACTTCCAGTCCCTGGGCAGAGAGGAAAGCCCTGGTTATGGAGAGAAGGCCCTGGCTATGGACAGAAGGTTCTGGTTATGGACAGAAAGTCCTGGCTATGGAGAGAAGTAGCACAGGAGGATCATGGGAGTTAGGCAGCTCATGACTAGAATGCTACCTGCTACCCTAGAGGCTCAGGAAGAAAGACAGGTCCTCCAAGGAGGGGGATGTGGTGACAGAGGTTTCTGTCCTGTGTGGTCCTGCAGCCATTCAGTCCCAAAGAAATACACAGAGGTCTACATTAATTATAAACTGGTTGGCCTAGTAGCTCAGGCTTCTTATTAATTAATTTTTATAATATATATTAGCCCATACTTCTTGTCTGTGTTAGTCACGTGGCTTGGTACCTTTTTCAGTGAGGCAGTCACATCTTGCTTGCTCTGTGTCTGGCTTCCTCTCTGTCCAGGAGATGACTGCAGACTGAAACTTCCCTCTTCCCAGAATTCTCACTGCCCCACCTCTACTTACTGCCTGGTTGCCCCACCTATACTTCCCACCTGGCTACTGGCCAATCAGTGTTTATTTAAAATACAAGTGTCAGGGTACAGGCCATTGTTTCACAGTAAGGATGTCTGCATGAGGGTTCTGGGCTGTGGAACTGCCCTAGACATATTATCATTTGCAGAGGGCTGCTGGAGCCCCAGAGGGCATCCTGGGTGCCCGAGCTCTAGGAACCTGCCTAGCCATGTGCAAACCCCTCAGGAACTTTTGGTTGATTCCTTCTGTACCTGAGAATCTATTTCCAAGGAAGACGTCATGAATTATGGCTAGTGATAGACCGTTAAAGATTGCCCATGAGAGCTGGAAGAGGCCACAGGCATGGGCCTGCATTGAAGAAAGTCTGTATTGGCTTCTGGTGCCACCGCTCATAGAGGCCTTACTTTTCAAATCTATCTATTTGTGGTTTGGATGAGAAACACTTCCCTCCCACGTAGACACACGTGTTTAAACACTTAGTCCCCAATCGGTGGTGCTATTTGGGAAGGTTATGGAACTGTGCCTTTGCTGGAGGAAGCGTGACACTAGAAGTAGGCCTTGAGGGTACACAGTGCAGCCACACTTCCTGCTCCTGCTGCTGTGCCTTCCCCACCAGGTGACCATCAAGCCCTCAGGACCCCTACACCCATGTAAACTGTTCCCGAAGTTGCTTTTGATCGTGGTACTTAGCCACAACCCCAGCACCGTAACTATCACACTTCTGTGCACTCCTCTGCGCCAGCTGAGTCTGAGGTTGGGCCTTGGCCATGCTTGCCTCTGGCAACTGTGAAAACTGGACACTCATTGGGAGGTCTTGGCCCCCTTAGAGCCCAGGATTCACCCTAGCCAGAGACTCGGCGAGGAACAGTTGACCTGTCCGTCTGCGGCACCCGCAGTCCCACTTTGAGTGCCGCTTGCACTTGTGGTTTTACATTGAAGGAAACTTTCTGGAGCAACAGTTTCAGATGAAGGCAATTAGATACCACTTATCTTTCTAATCTAGCCAGGTGCTGCCGAACGATGTCATGGTTGATGATACCACATGCCTATGGCATGACAGGGCTCCTAGGATTATGATAAGGCAGAACATTTTGTGCTGCCTAGTGGTACCATAGCTGCCCTAATAATAACAGAATGATACTGGGGTGAAGTCAACAACCACATTGCCAGCACAGACAAGGATGGCATGGATGACGATAAAAACGGTTGTGCGGTTGGTGTATATATTTATGGGCTATAGTTTTCAGAGAATGTACACCTATGGACAAAAAGAACTGTAGCCTCTAAAACAATACCACCTGGCAGTGGCTTTCTGCCTCTGCTTGCCTCCTTTCCCTAGGGCTGGCTGCTCCAGAGCCCTAGGCAGGTCTGACCTGTTTCCATTCAACATTCGTCATCTGCGTGACCTGCAAGATTGGCTAAGAGGCTTTAAGCATCAGGTCCGTCAGAAGGCAGCCCCACGTGCCACCCGCAGTCAGCTGCCACCTGTCCTGCATCGCTCACCTGCTGTAAACATGGCTGGAGGAGCTGCTGCCCACCTCGGTGGTACCATCTCCGAAGTTCCAAAGATAGGCTACATCCGTGCCAAAGTTGAGCCTGCACTCAAAGGACACGTTGGCATTTACCAGGGCTGAGGCCGGGGACATGAGCCGATTGGCCGTGATTCTCTTCTGTACCCTGATGAGGTGGGACTCAGAGGCCACACTGCCCATCCGGCTGATGGCCTCGACCATCACGTGGTACCTAAGGATGGGGTACAAGGCAAGATGAGAACACGAGGCTGCCGAGAATCTCCACAGCGCTTCAGCAGACTAAGACTTGGGAGCTTAAGTTGTGGGCTTTGTTCAGTGAGGGAGGATCAAAGCCAAGACGGAGGGAGTTCTTCTTAAGCTCCCTTTCTCATTATTTAGTTCACGTCTCTACATGGGGTGAGCATATTGCCCTTCTCTATAAGAAGAGCAGTTTAGATTATGCTGAGGGCTGAGATAACATTTAACTTAGCATCGCCGTGCTTATTGTACACCAGGGGGGGTGAACCCCTCTTCTTTTACATTTTATGGCTAAGCTCAACGCACAGAGTGCTTAGGGGCTGGGTGCAATGTAAACACCGATAAAACTTTCGTGAGAGTGTCAGGGTGGTCTTTATCCTGACTGCTGACTGTTAGCACTAAAGACCATATTGACCAACCGCTGAGGGATGCTCAGCCTTCTTCTAAGGCTTCTGGAAGTTGTCCTCACGGGTGGGTCATCTCCGAAATACCATACAAACTCCAGGGGTATGGTTTCCTTGGTAACAGCCACAAATGTGATGTCTGTGTCTGCAGCAAACACAGTTCCGTTGGTGTAGATGGACACAGCTGTGACAAAGAGAGGAGGTGGGGGCCATCAGCACAAAGGGCTGGAAGCCACGCAGAGAACCTCGCCCCACCCCGCCACCTAACCAAAGCATGAACACCGAGAATGAGCCTGCGGATGCGAATCTAAGGCAAAGCCAGGGAGCAAGCGGGATCTGTGGGGCTCAAGCAGGAGGTAGAGCCCGAGTCTGACGACCATCAGGAATGGCTCACAAGGCAACCTGGTCAGCTCCTTTGGGAACTGTGCTTGGAAGGCAGGGAATGGAGGTGGAGAGGGGGTGGCAGATGATCAGATGATAGTCCCCATCTCCCACACTCTGGTGGGAGCTCAGAGTCTGTGGCTTCTAGAAAAGTTCCAGAACAAAGTATGTGTGTACAAGAGCCTGCTGCAGAGCCAATAGGATGGGTCCTGGCTGAGCTGACAGCAGAAGGGTCGGCAGTCAGCTGCTAAGGCAGAAGGGCCACATCTAGAGTTAAAACAGACGTACGCTGCATCTTATACCCGACAGTCACACCAAGCCAAGCCTGGCCGCTGCCCACTGGGGGCTGAGAAACAAAGGACACGTTGTATGAGGACACAGAAGAAAAGCCATGCGTCACGACTGTGCCTAGAACAAGAGAAGGCACGGGAGAGATGTTAAGCCATTTGTCTTAAGCACACACACACAAACATAAACACACGCACACACCAATATTTCCCATCATCGACTTTTCCTCTTTGAATTTTAATGGAATTTGAAATCTGGAGCATGCACTCAAGTGGCTGGCAAACATAAATTATGGGATCTCTCTCTTTAAAAGTTTCTTTAGATGATTTCTGTCTCTTCAGAGAAATCTACATAGCAATGAATACATTATGCCCTTTGCAAGATACTAATTCCTTTGTTAGCTGATTTTATGCTAAACATGTTTGTCTTATGTGTACATATTAAACAGTTTCCACACCATAAAGATTCTTAATGGGGGGGGTTCAACAATAAGCCTCATTCATGTAAGTCCTCTAAAATGTAGTGCAGTGTTTTATGTGCATGTGGGTCCATATACAGATATGTATGTATATATTTGTGCATGTAAGTGCATATGCACATATGTGTGTATATATTTGTACATGTGGGTACATATACACATATGTATGTATATATTGGAAAGCAAATTCCAAAAAATTGAATCAGATCCTGGAAGAGGGCTGTGATATCTAAGAAGATTGAAATAAACTCATTTGGGATATTAAAATGAAATAGGCTTTACAACTATTATTGCTGTTTTTCTATGAATTTCCTCATTATAATGAAAAATGTTTATAGTATAAAAATGGATATATATATATATATATAAATGTGCCCCACGAATAAGATTGACATATTCTTATTAACAATGACTAAAGCTTAATCTTGATCACAATCTGGTATCACAATACACAAGGAAAGAAAAGTTATGGATTTGCACAGGATGTCCCATTACTGATCTTTCTAAAGGATTTAGACTCAAATCACCCAGTTCGAAACCTTAGTACAAAACCCACAGACACACACGGCCTGTGCTCACTCACTCAAAGTTTTGATAAGACACGTCAATACGAGTGGTCAGTGGCTAGTTACAGAATGCTGCTTGGCAGCTTTAGAAGTCCTGCTCTGTGTCATGTGTTGCTTAGTACAGGGTCCCTACATCCCCACCAGGAGGACTGTAGGGAAATGCAGTCAATACATGGTACAAGTGTCCAGATTCTCAAGAATGACCTCTTTGGGATGCACCTCCCACTGGATTCTCTTTTTCCTATAAGCCTGTATCTGTCTACTGGAGTTGAGCAATTTGGGGTCTTCCTCTGCACTCTAGCTTGGCCACAATCTGCCCTAGCTGTTACCTTCTTCTGACTCCTGGAATGTGAGTTTGTGACGCCTTCCCCCAAGATGGCAGAGGGGGAACAGACGCCTACAGGTAGGTGTGCGGTGAGGGTAAGGAGGCAGGAGTTAGGAGTTCCTGACAGATGAGCATCTAGCACCACATGCTGTTGGCTATGGCTATGCCATCTGCCAGAATGCTCCCATGCCTGCTCCTCACAGCTCACCGTATGTACCATCTCCTAGTGTCTGTCCTATGGTGACACAGTCGAGGGGACCGCTCAGCCCCATGGCCTGGCAATGCTCCTCTTCAGCCCCCCCTTTTTTTTGTCCTTTCCCCTATTTTTTTTTATAATACACTTATCCAGATACCTTACTGGCTTACAACTCCCCTAAGGTTGGATCCCCATGTGATTCCACCTCTTCTCTCCTAACACACAATACTCCACAGTACCTATTTTCTTCCTGAGCTAAAAAAGAAGAACGGTACTGTATAGAATAGGGTGCCTAGGACTCGGACAGAGAAACTAAAGCCGAGTCAGGCTGCATGCACAGCAGAGATCTCAATGCACAGCAGAGATCTCAATGCACAGGTCTCACCTTTCTGCTGTGGGAGGGAGTTGGCCAAGGAGAGGGCTTCACCCTCGTGGATAGAGCTGGAGTTCATGAATACAGACACGTTCTCATGGCCAATGTTCATGTAGTACGGCCCCAGTTCCACATCAGATCCGTGGACGTCATGGACAACAGCCCTGAGCTTGTAGACTCCTTCTGGAAAAGAAGACAAAGCAGACGTATGATGGCCTATCAAACAGACATGAGAACTAACACTTCAGAATAGGCACAGTGGGGTGGTTAGTCTGAAGACTGATAGTGTAAATAAGATTTTTTTAAAAAAAAATCCTAGCAACAGCAGGGACATTTCATGAGCATGCAGGCATACAGCACACTGCAGCAAGGACATTTCATGGGCACGCAGCCACATAACACACTGAATCCCATGTTCAACATGCCTTGGAATGTCTTAACATTCTACTGTCTGGGAATTCTTCATCGTATTAACAACTGGCGTTTGTGTTCTCCACTAGACCCTGAAAATGATGTAGCATATCTGTGTGTGAGCGTGAAAGCAGGTCCTGGTCATTCCAGAATAGCTAGGTCAATATGTGTGTGTGTTTGCTAGACATGCTTGCTTGAATAACCATCCAAAGAGTTTATATCAAAGGATTACGATAGACTAAAAAAATGGCCCTCAATCCTGACTTTTCTTGAAGTTTCTATATCACTATAATATGACTTTGAATTTTTCTTTAACTGGTAGAAGCTATTCTTTCTCTTTTAGATTGCTGCCGATCTCATGGTCAGTTGCCTCGTCCCTCCAACTCGCCTTGTCCCTCCAACTCGCCTCTTCTTCCTTGTCTTTGGATTGGTCACCGTTATCATGGCAAGTATCTGGGTCTAGCTTGCTGAAGAAGACACAAAACTCAGTTGTCCTATGGGACCAGCCATGTCCACGAAAAGAGTCATCTAGCTGACTGGCAGCTGCCTACAGATCCACAATGAATTCGTTGAGGCCCACCCATATCAAAAAAAAAAATCCCCTTAAAAAAAACTGGTTGAACTCATGAATACTTTCTAGTTTTTTTTTTTAGCTCTTTGAGAATGTCATATTTTGAGGCACTGATTTGCACCCTCCTAACACAGCTACAGCTGACTGATGTAGCTCTGTTGGACTAGAGAGGCCTCTAGCAGGTTGCTAATCCCAACCCCCTACCCACTATTCTTAAATCATGCATTTAATCCTGCTTTGGCTGTTAAATGTTAGGTGAGCCCCAGTGTGTCACAGGTTATGTCCTCTGCGGGTCCCAGTCCCCCATTCCCAGCTCTGTCCTGCACAGGCTTTATTTATCATCCACTTAGAACAAAGGTCCCCTTCCCAGCCTCTCTCAGTCATGTCCCCATTATGTAAGCTTCTCGTCTTCTCCTGGACAACTCATTCCTGCCATGACCCTTTTAAACCACTTAGGCAGAACAGTTGCCTTCATCTGGGGAACGCCCAAAGCTCTTGGGCTGTGTTGCAGTTTCAAGTTCACTATATTCTGTCTCCTTTGCCCCCCAGGCTCATCACAGTGCACGCAGCACATGCATAATAAATGTTTATGAAATGATCAATGACATTATATAGAATGGAAAACTAAAGCCAAATAAATAAAACAATGTTCTCAAGGCCCAGTGCAGGCTGTTCCTTAGGAATTCATACAGCCTTTATTGTCTAAGAGAGCAGTAGGTGGTGGCATAATATATTCAAAGCAGGAGAGATGAAGCAGGAAGGTGGCACAGGAGTTCAGCCCCTAGAAGGTTCAGGAGCCACTTGAACCTTGTCAGTATGGACCCAAGGTATAGCTCTCCATAACCTCCTGCGCAGTCTTGAATTCTCATTTCTAACACTGACTGCATTTTAAACCACAAAGATGAGCTCAAAACTTATGGTACATGGTGACTGGCAATTAACAATGAAACAATCAAACAAAGTCATACGTTAGGGAAATAAGAAAAAACTAACTACAAAAACAACAAGAAGAAAAAAGATCAAAACAGAAATTAAGCAACTAGAAAAAAAATATAACAAACACAATTCATGTTGGTTCCTTAACTAAAGGAATATACATCAGCTCTATCTGTTCAGAAGAGAAGTCAGAAGAAAATTAAATAAAAATGATGAAGGAAAAAAGTCAGTATCAGTGAAAATTTAAGAACCAGAGGGACCCACTTTGATGAGGTCTATGTAATTAAACTTGAAGATTTGTGTTAAAACATAATTTTCTAAGAAGCTAAAACTTAAAAAGAATTAACGACATGATCTCATGTCAAATAAATATCAAATGTCAATAGAAAAAGGTGTCAACAAGTTAGCCAGAAGCAACAGGAGGGTTGTGTGCAGACTTGTAAAGAGAACTGCGGGCTCTAATGCCGCCTTTGCTGTCCAGGATGAGAGAAAGATGAAGTTCTCCATGTATCACTGATCGGAAAATCTAAACCTACTGCTTCCAAACCAGCAACTAGACTCCGGCCCAGTTTATGAACATCAACATAGAACCCTTGAGTAGGATTTAGAAAACTGAATTCAACCAAATGTTTAAAAATAATAAGAAAAAATCATATGACTTCTCCTCCTGGGAATTCAGGAAATGTCTTTATTGAGTAGTGTGACTTGAAACTTGTGTAGTTCTAAAGGAAAAACCAATCATAAAATCACCTCAGCAGATAGAATCTATAAGAAGCTGGCAAATCCAACAATTCCTTTACCTTTATTTTTATTTTCAGTCTTTAATAAAAGATGAAAACTTCTGTACCAGGATCAACTGAAGCATGAAGTTTGGAGGAAAAAAAAATAGGAGAAAAAGCTGAAGACAAAGACACCCAACATTGTCTGCTAATGTCACCCACAATACTCCGGAAATCCAGGCCAGGGCAATTAGACAAGAGAAAGGACTGTGGGGCGATCACTGGAGATGGGAAGTGATATATCAGCATTTGTAAACAGCGTGTCTACACAGCTAAGAAAACACTGGTGAGTGTGTGCAGAAGTCCCTGTCAAAGGTCAGCAAGATTGAAGGCAAAAGACAAAGGGCAACTTCCTCACCTTCCTAAGTGCCATGGAAACCTGTCTGGAGATAATAGCTTATTTGTGACAGCACAAAAAATGAGGTGCCATGTAAGTTCCATATGGAAACAACTAAAACACATGGTGTGTGTGTGTGTGTGTGTGTGTATGTGTGCGTGTACAGTTTGTGGGAGTTATCTCTCTACTATGGAAAAAAAATTTTAGCGTTTCCAAAGGTGTGGGGAAGGGTACAAAGGAACAGAGTACATTCTATTAAAAAAGGGGGCTTGGGAGCATAAAGCCTCTACATAAATTAATTTTTAAGTCACACTATTCCGATAGAATTGCCAATCCCTTCATGTTAGTCAGTGTGGGTCTAAGGTTCAGTGTGGAAAAGTCATCGAGAAAATATGACCAAAATAATCCCAGAACAGTCTAGGCACCAGGAGTGCGGCCCACAATGGTGAAACCAGAGGAGAACGCGACAGTGGCTCACACCAGCAGGTGGGACTAAAGGGAACAGGAAGTCTGCCGGTGGCCTGGAACAGGAATCCAGCATGGAAGGGGGGGGGGGTGTGTGGCGTGAGGGAGCATTGCAGATGCTTCTGAAAAATGGATCATTCAAGCCACATGAGCAGGCATTCTGACCTCAGGAATGTGAAACATGCACCCGACATTATGCCAATTACGTATTCAAAAATATTAATTACTTAAATGTGCAAAACTCTATCGTGAAAACACTAAAAGACACGAAAGGATTGATTTATGAATCTGGAGTAAGGAAGACCTTTTTAACTAGAACATGTATCTCAGAAACTGGGGCTTAGGATATAGCTCAGGAGTAGAATACCTGCCTAGAATGCATGAGACTGGGTTCAGTCTCTAGTACCTCCATAAACAGATAACAAAATAAATAAACAGCATTTTCACAAAAAAATCTAAAAGCAAAGCTGAAAGACAATAAATGAAGAAAAATATTTGCTACTCATTACTCTCACAATAAGAAGACTAATTTTCTCAGTAATGAAAAATACTCACAAAACCCCATGCTATACAGACCACAAAAGTGTTCTTTTTGGCTAAAGAGTTTTTTTTTTTTAAGGTCTTTTAGGGCTGGAGAGATGGCTCAACTCAGCAGCACTGACTGCTCTTCCCGAGGTCCTGAGTTTAATTCCCAGCAACCATATGGTGGCTCACAACCATCTGTAATGAGATCTGGCGCCCTCTTCTGGCCTGCAGGGATACACGTAGGCAGAACACTGCATACATAATCAAAAAAATAAATCTTTTTAAAAATTAAAATAAAATAAAAGGTGCTTTAATTTTTTTAAATTTATTAAAGATTTCTGTCTCTTCCCCACCGCCGCCTCCCCTTTCCCTCCCCCTTCCCCAATCAAGTCCCCCTCACTTGTCAGCCCAAAGAGCAATCAAGGTTCTTTGCCCTGTGGGAAGTCCAAGGACCACCCTCCTCCATCCAAGTCTCGTAAGGTGAGCATCCAAACTGCCTAGGCTCCCACAAAGCCAATACGTGCAGTAGGCTCAAAAACCCATTGCCATGGTTCTTGAGGTCTCAGTAGCCCTCATTGTCCGCTATGTTCAGTGAACATAAGGTGCTTTAATTTTGAATGAAGATAATAGCACACCAAGTTTCAGAAAGAGACCATTTCCATTTCTCAGACTGACATCTCTGTGTTCATAGAGCACAGACCAGACAGCTCTAATTGAAAGCAATTTGGCAATAATTTGGCAAATTGCTACTGGACACAGCATTTGAGGAAAATGTCCTCTTCACTATGAGCTGCCGTGATCTCACTTCAATGTTACTTTTAATACTGGAAGATAGAAATTATCTCAATGTCCACCAGTAAAATCCAGTTAAGCAGACGTGGCCTGTTGAATCAGTATACAGCAGCCTCCTAAAGGGGCAGGGAAGTCCTTCTGGTCTGGGCTGAGGAGTTGTTCTAAGAGGGAGCTTCGTCTCTAAGTGGGTAGAGAGCAGGGCATTGTGCTCTATGCACTTCCGTTTACAGGAAGCAGAACAAACCTGGTAGCGGCTTATACACACACCAGATGTAAGAAATAAAAGATGTGCTTGCCGGTGGGTTAGTGAGACTCTCGCTGTGCTTCTTAGTGACTGTGGGGCCTGCGCAGCAATTTTCAAAAGAGAGCGGAAAAAATTAAAGTCTTCCATGAGTCAGCAAAGTGGAGCTTTTGGCTCGCATCCCACACCTGTCTTCAAGGCTTTAGATTTACCTAACATCAAAATGTCTATACAAACACTACCATTGCTTGTTGTTCTTACTTTGATTAAACTTAAGTGGTGGAATTTTCAACTCTAAAGAAAGAGTATGCTCTATCACACGTGGGTCCTTGGTGAGCAATGTAAGGGATGTTTGGATGTCGCCATGTGTAGGAAGGAAACCTTGTACTGACTGTGTGACCCCAGGCTTCATTTTTCAGTCTCTTTCTCCTACTCTGCAGTCCTGAGGGGACTGTTAATGACTTGTCCGCAGCCCTAAATGTGAGCCTCTGCCATATAGAACCCCCAGGTTGGTTCTAAAGGATCCAGAGGGTGGAATATGGCTTCCTCCCTGCCAGCGTCTGAACACGGTCACTCTGCCAGTGTCCTGGGATGGCATCTCCTCCCCAGGCTTTCAGAGAAGGGCGCGCTGCACCATACCTTTCCTGTACCGGTGGCAGCTAGTCACTGCAGCTGCGCCTGTCATTGGACACAGTCTCATCTCAGCTCCGCAACCGTCCCCAAAGTCCACCAGCAGACGAAGAAGTGATCCGGAAGCAGGGTAGACACGGATTCCCAGAGCTGGAAGCGCCGGAGCGTCTGTGTCTGGGAAGCAGTTGATGGCAAAGTGCCCAGGGTTTTCAGGCTGTGTCGCTGGGATGGGCCCAGTAGGATGCCGAGTGAGGGGAGAGGGACTCTCGGGGTGGTACCAGGATGTGGGGAGGCTGCAGGTGCAAGCGATGCCGGGAGGAGTCTCTGAGAAACTACAGGAAAGAAGCAGTTATCCGATTTCAGGGAATGCTACGGAGTCCGGGAATAGAGGGGCTTTGGGGGTGGGTGGGAGGGCAGGTGTGAGAAGCCTGTCTAGGATAGATCAGGGAACAGGGTGTGAGGACCCTGAAGAAGGGCCTTGGTGATCCCTGGGCTCCCCTCCTGTAATACCAGAATCTCTGGTCACTTGTGAGACGGGCATCTCTGACCACTGGCTGAGACTCTAAAATCAGGGCCAGAAAGTCCCTTAGAGACTGAGGACATCACTTTAGAGACTGGGGACAGCTCCCCAGAGACTGAGATCAACACTCTGGAGGCTGAGGTCAGCTACCAGAGCGCAACTAATCTAGTTACAGAAAAAGAGGGTAACATACATTTTTTTTCCCTATCACTGAAATCATGAGCCGAAAACCAGTCCTTCTAAGAGTCAGCAGCTACTGGCTTTGTACAGTGCTGTCTTGACCCATGACCACCAGTTTCCCCATTTCCACATGTAGCTCTTTGTGCTGGGAGCTGGGGGCTGGGAGGAGTCTGGAATACCAAGCCTCTGGCTCCCTAGAATACAGGACTTCCATCACTGGCTTCCTAGGAACTGCTGCAGGAGGACACCGATGATGGGCATTTAGCCAGTTAGCAGTGTGGATAAGGGACAGAACCCTTCAAAGCAGCAGGAGACTGCTCTCCCTGACACCGCAGGGTCTGCGTATTGGGCAATACTCCACATTTCCATCGTCTGCCCATGCTGTGTTTATCCCCCACAGCAATGCAGACAGACAGCGCTGAGGTCTGAATTTCTGACTTCTCTGAGAGACAAAGGGACCACATGACACAGGATGCAGGTGGCAAGGGGCAGCCAATCACGTCATCTGGAGCGCAGTGACAACACACTCGCAGCCATGGCTGTCGTAAAATCGAATGAGCAAGAGACCCAAATCAGCAAGTGACTGAAATAAGGGTGGCTTTCGCCACCTTCCTTCTGCCTTCTGGGAATGGTGGAAAAAGGGAAAGCCAGACCCAGAGAGCTGCCTGGGTGCTGCTCTGTGGGGCTGTGACCACCCTGGTGGGGACCTCCTGGTGACAGACCTCAGAAGCAGCTTCTTGAACAGGTCTTCCGCAGAGCTCAGTTCTTTGCAGCAAAAAACTCCCTTCTTCGGGCAGCAGAGGGCGCCCTGCAACATGAATGTGTGTGGTCAAAGGAGCTTCCCCAGCCGTTGCCAGGGCACGTGTTTTTCCTGTCAAAGTCAACTTAGCAAACGCCCAGTGAGATTGTGGTCTCTGAGGACTGAGGACTCTGGTTTGGTTGGGGACCAACCTGTCCATGGCACTGTATTCAGAATAAAATGGGGCCGTTCCCAGTAAAGAGAACACCCAGCCAGGAACCCCCCTAGAACAACACAGGAGGCACCAGGAACTTTAGGGTGGCCTGTTATCACTTTGTGCTGTCAGCCTCTGCTAAGGTGATAGGTTTGCTATTTGTATGATCATGTATTCATGAGGCCGGCGGCCGAGAGATGACATTACCATAGGCAGGGGAGCAAGGACTCTTTTCTTTCTTATTGCAATTACATATTTCAATTCTGCGCAACTGTGCAGCCTCTAACAGAGTTAGAAGGGCAAAGTAGAATCTGCTGATCAGCTCAGAGGATATTTCTCCAGGGGCTGGGGTCAGACACCAACCTGCTGCAGACTAGAGAACGATGCGTCTGCTCTTTCAGCCTGGCACAGCCACCGGAGACAGAAGCAGGGACTGGCGCTGTTCCTGATGCTCCTGATCATGACAGAAGGCAGAGACATGCTGTCATATGCTTGCTGCATCTGACTGCTAAGTGTTCAGGCTTATGCACCCAAGTCTGTTGCTGGGAGCCCCACAGGCAGACCATCAGAGACTGGATGCCAGGGAGAAGTCTTTAGGGTGGAGAAGGAGCACAGTTAAAGCCATTTGCTAAGATCTGCACACATCTAGGTGCAAGTCACACCCCACACGTGCTGGGCCACCGATACATACTGTGGCTATGTCCGAGAGCTATAGCGCAGACAAGGGAGTTGGAGTCCTGGAAGGCAGGTCCTGGTTATAAGCCCTAGACAGTGAATCGCACCTCATGTCCTGTGCCTCGCTCTGACCACAACAGGCTCGAGGTCTGCAGAGGACAGGCTTGTCCTCATGGAAACAATGGTCAACTTCAGAATTCATCTCTGGTCTCTGACTGCTGCCGTGTCCACCTCCCCGGTCTCTCTCATGGTGCAGGAAACATATACCTTTCCCGCCACTGGTGGAACCAGTTCCCTTGATACTTTTGACGGCATGTCCTTGTCCTCTGAGGGGGCATCCTAAGTGACTTTGTACATTCCTAATGGGTCACATTTTCTCGATATTTGCTTTCTGGCTTTGTGTCTTTTTTTTTATTTATTTATAGCTGATTACTTCTTAGCACAGAAGTGTTTTTGAAAACAAAAATCCAGGAGTTAGGGGTATAGCCCAGGCTCGCTGCCTCCTTTTTAGAAAACGCCGGCCTTCCCTTCTGCCCAGACACATTCCCCAGAGCCTGCTCACCCAGCTACTACTGCGGACAACAGACAGACTGCATGCTGGGGCAGGAGGAGAAAACAGGGCTCAGGGCTCCTGCCCAAGACAGCTCCACCTTGCTCTTGCTGACTGTTCACCGTGGCCACACACAGCGGAGATAAGAATGGCGTTTCCTTGACGGCTCACAGGGAGTGCTAATTCCAGGGAGAATCTGAAGTTCTACCTTGTCAAGTCCTAAATGATTTAAAATAAGCTCTAATTCTTCAGTGCTTGATGCTCAGGTTGGAGAAGGTCATTCTTCCCGAGCCAGAAAGAACATGTTTATTGAGATGGGCTTGGGGAGTGGGATGGGGTGCCAGTCGGACCAGCAAAATGGCATTAAAATGCTGAGACGCCAGGTAATAAAGCATGTGGCACAGACAACAACAACCAAAAGGCCTGAAGCTGTCACATTCTGCCCCTAACAGGAAGTCCGTGTTTGTAAAGTGGAAGCTGGAAAGACCCTATCGATCAGCCCCCCCCCTTCCAGAGATCTGGGTCACAAACCCTGCAGCGTGGGGGTGGGTATCCTATGCTCTCCAGAATTTCCCCTCCCAACATTAAATTTTTGGTTGTGTAATATTGTTTTGATTTTTTAAGTATACAAGGATAAGAAAAGAAGAAAACAAAAACATACAAGCTGTGTCATGCGTGGTCAATGTGTTTAAGGAGGAGTTAAACAATCACAGTATATTCGCAGTGTTGTGCCTCCAGTGTCCAGGAGTTTTACTTCCTGGGGAACCCTGAAAGTCCTGAAACAACCCCCAGATCACGCCACCCCACCCCTTGGCCACTCCTCGTCTATTTTTGCATTCATGGCTTAGACATCTCCTGTAGGAACTGCATAGTAAGGCTGGCCTTTTTCAACTGGCGCATTTCACAAAGCACCATGACCTCATGGCTGGAAACAGTTTTGTTCCCAACTCCAGGAGCTGCACACACATAACACCCCACCCCCCCCCAAGGCTTGCCAACTCCGTTCCTGGTGTTGCGATCATTTTGGGCCTCGTTCTAAACCACAGCATAGTATATACTGCAGGAGCTTTCAGGCAGGGTTTAACCCAGGTGACTTCATTTTAAAAGCAGCATCTGGCTCCTCTTTGAGTGCAAATACAAACACACAATGATTCTGCACCTCATTGTCATTGACAACACCACCACTTACTTCTCTGGTGCCATCATGGCTGATACCTAACTTATTCCTACAGAATAGCATTGTGAAATTTATCAAAGCGGCATGGCAGCAGATGGGTGCATGGATCAATCCCAACCACAGCAGTAAAAGGCCCAAGAAGTGGCTCCACAGCTAAGCAGGTAAAAATGACTGCCACGCAAGCATGATGACTTGAGTTCAAATCCCAGAACCTTCAAAAAAACCAGACACAGTAGCTTCTATCTGTGACGCCAGCCCTCCTAGGGTAAGGATGGGAGGTAGAGGTGAAGAAGCAGTGAAATCTACAGGCCAGCTAGCCTGGATACAGAGTGGCAGAAACAAGACAGATGCTGCGTTAATAAGGTGAAAGGAAAGAACCCACTTCTGGAAACAGTTACTTGATCTCCACGCCTATACCAGGGCTTTCAAGTACCCACACTTACACACACACACACACACACACACAAATAGTAATAGTAAAAATAATAAAGAACTGGTCTCTGTGATATATGCATAATTTATTTTTAAAAGGGTGTGGGAAGATAGAATAAAAAAAGTACTACACAGTGGAGAAAAATGATGACATCTTGAAATTTGCAGGCAAATGCATGGATCTAGAAAACATCATATTGAGTGAGGTAACCCAGACCCAGAAAGACAAATAAAATATTTACTCACTCAAAATGACTTTTTGGCATAAAGCAAAGAAAACCACCTACCAATCACAATCCCAGAGAACCTAGACAACAAAGAGGACCCTAAGAGAGACATACATGGATCTAATCTACATGGAAAGTAGAAAAAGACAAGATCTCCTGAGTAAATTGGAAGCATGGGGGTCATGGGAGAGGGTAGAAGTGGAGTGGGGAGGAAGGGGGGAGAGCTGAGAAAAATATATAGTTCGATAAAAACAATGAGAGAGAGGGAGAGAGAGAGAGAGAGAGAGAGAGAGAGAGAGAGAGAGAGAGAGAGAGAGAGAGAGAGAGAGAGAGAGAGAGAGAGANAGAGAGAGAGCAAGAGAGAACAAACGAACAAAAAAAAAAAAAAAAAAAAGGAAGCCAGCCTAGAACTTGCAAAATACACTAGGTGGAGCAAGTTTGCAACATTCTTACCTGGACTCCAGAAGGAAGAGGAAGCTAACACTGCAATGGGAACACATTTCCTGACATCTGGCTACCCAGTGTGACCTTTAAGGGACCGACAGGCAGAGAGCTCCTGACTGTCCTCAGGGCTTTAGTCTATATCGATCTCCACCACAGCTGCAGCAAGCTTCCATCTCTCTGGATCCAATTCCACCCCTTGCCCATAGCTTCCATGGCCCTGAGCCCTGCAGCTGGACTCAGTTCTGAGGTCTGCCAGCCCTGAGGCCCTGCAGCCTCGGGTGGTAGTGTCACCAGCGGCTCTCCATCTGGTCTCAGGCTCTAATCCCCGCAGTAATTCTGCATTCCCTACAGCCCTCTGCCTGCCTCCGGGAAGGCCTCCCCGAGAAGTCCTTGATCCCCACTGGAGCCCTTTTGACCATCTGCAGTCATTCTATGACCCACCTGTGTGTATGTATATACAATTATGATGCGACGTGCCACACATGATCAGAGAGTTAATATTAGTAATGAGATTGGAGTCAAAGAACTGCCTCTGCCTCAGCCAGCTTTCAAGGCAAATCAGGACTTCTTAGCAGACTGCAGCCAACAAAGCCAACTCAGCTCATAAATTTATTATTGCTTAGGGAATTTTAGTATTGTGGGAAGGTGCAATGCGTCTGTCCATCTGTGTTTCTAGCATGGAGTGCTCATGAGGACTCGTAGCTGGCACCACCCAACATTTGGGGTTAAGTTTACTATACAACCTTGTGTAATAATAATTAATACTATATATACATATATGTATATGCACACACATATACACATGTATACGTATATACACACACATATACACACATATATGTATATACACATACATGTATTATACACACACACACACACACATATTCTTTTTCCCCTCAGTGCTGAGAGGCCCAAATCTACTTTGTGGTGGCAGAACTGATTCTGACGTTGGCCTCTGAGCTGGTCCCCATGATTCCCACGCCATCTGTATTCTCGGAAATGCCCGACTGTCTGGGCTTCTCTGACCTACCTGTCAGCACCGCCGTCCCAGTGTGCAGGAGCTTGTGTTTCTCCATTACTAGCGCTTAGTCTCCCCTCACAACTCGCGTTCAAAACGTTCTGTAAGGAAAACAAAGGAAAGCTGTGAGAGCACTGGGGAAGGGGCATTAGTCATTAGAAAACAGCAGCCTCCATCCCTGCGTACCAGGCGCCGTCCTCCCTGGGGAAGAGCAGTGAGGAAGACAGACTGATGGACTCTGCTCCTAGGGAGCAGAGGGAGGCTCAGAGCTAACTAGAAAGCTGGCTATGGGAGGCTGTGGTGAGGGCAGGGAGCCCACCTGGATGGAAGAAGAGTGTCTTCTCTTCCCTAGAACTTCGGACTCCAGTTCTGTTTGCCCTCAGTGAACTTATGCACCTTTGGGTAGTTCTTTAGTAGACACCTTCAAAGAGCTCCCATGCCCCATGTATGAAATGTTGCTCACAGCCTCACCTACACTGGAACTATGGTGGGAGGTAATCCCCCACATACATGTGGGGCAGCATCACCCCCAGACTGAGGGGCAGGACCACTCCTCACTTTACCCCTCCTGAGGGCAGTCTTACCCCCACTCCTGAAGCGTGCTTTCATTCCCCTACCTGAGGGCCCCCTCATCCTCCAACTGAGGAGCAGCCCACACCCTACCACTACCTACAGGATGGTCCCACCCCATCCTAGCTGGAAGGACAGCCCCATCCCTATCTGAAGAGAATCCCCATCCTCTTACAACTGAAAGACAGCACCAGTCCCCATTTGAGGGGTCACCATTTGCCTGGGTAGAGACACAGGCTCCTCTGCCTTCTTGTCATTCCCATGACAAGGCCACGACAAGCTTGCCCCTCCCCTGCTCAAGCATCTATGTTGTGACAGTGCAGGGCATTTGGAGCTGCAAGCCCCCACATACACATATGTACACACACACACACACACACACACACA